TACCATTTATTATCCAACTACACCTAGACGAGTACGAATAACGCCATAGACGAGTACAAATATCACGCGGTATTTGTACTCGTCTATTGTAGTACCGGTTAAACTGGTTTTCTCGCATCGCGCAAGCGAAGAATTGGATTGTAGTTACGGAAAAAAAAAAGTGGCGGACAATTTCAATCATATTTCCGACGACGAAGAGTCAGAATGGCTGGCAAATATAGATCCAAGTTCATTTCATGAATCGAACGAAGAAAGACAGCTTGACGACCAGAAAATTTATTCATTTAATGAAGAAAATAGAAACAGCAACACAACAACGCGCCAATTCCGTCCCGCTTCGCATACTTCTGTCACGCACTCCCGTAAATAAATATCCGCGAAATTCGCCCGCAGAAACAACCGTTTGGCGTGTTGAATAATAAATAACTTATTAGACGTTTTGTTGTCGCAGAGTATTTTCACTCGTTATTTGTATTTTGACTCGCCCTACGGGCACGTCAAAATACGACACAACTCGTAAAAATACTCAGCGATACTACACAACAAAACGTCTAATAAGATATATTTATGTTAAGGGTGCTAAGGGTTTAAATAAGTCGGTGTAAGTGCGAGCGGAGTGGGCAAAGAGCGTAAACGTTGAGTCACCTGGGAGAGGAAAAGCGCAAAAAAAAGAATCTACATGTGCGGGTCTTGCCGCTCGCGCTTTCCTCGCGCGTTTCTCGCGTTCGCCACAAACTTGTCTCTACTCCCCTGAAAAACTAATTAATTGGCACCTGTTTAACTGGCCATTGGAGGGACTTTTGTAATAATGAATAATTTTTTTTACAAGCTTGTTCCCTTTTTTCAGGTGAAGAAGAGGCGTGGCTATTATTAGCGAACAGGAAAAGCATTCGCCAAGTTAGTTTGAATGGAAGAAATTACAAGGACGTTTTCTCAAACTTAAGCCGGACAGTGGCCATTGATTTTGACGTTGAGAAAGGAAATCTTTACTGGTCAGATGTAAAAGACAGTGCCATCTACAGAGCAAATATTGTGTTTCATCAAGATGGTGAACACCTAGGAGAGGTGATAAGACCATGTTACAGATCACGATTGAATATTTGTTTAATTTTCAGTATTTTCAAAACGCGCGAGTAGTCCCTTGTAGTTACTGCCGCTGCGCGCGCGTTCCCTCTCTCGTAAGAAAGGTTGAGGCAAGTCGGCGAAAGGTCTGCGGGGAATCTGGCACTAATTGTTAATACCAACCCCCGCCAACCTCTCGAGCATGCCTCAGTGCTAATAATGAGCGCCTTCTTGGTTTCCCTTCTTCCTCAATCCTAACTGCATTTTACTTAGTGAGCAATTGCTTTAGAAAATGACGGATTTTCCTTCATGGTTTGGATTTCTAAGCGCCTCCGCTGCCTCTCCTTTAAGTGCGATCCGAGAACAGTATCCCTTTTATCTCAAATGTCCCTTTCAAAGATAATAACTAAGGTTTGACAAAGAACCCAGTGCAGGTCTTTCCCCTTAAACTTCTTTGGTCATCTCTGTTAGGTAGAAGCTGTGGTCAAAGATGGTTTAGCTGATTCGAATGGAATTGCTGTGGATTGGGTGGCGAAGAATTTGTATTTTGTCGATAGCTCTGCGAAAAGGATCTTTGTCTGCAGATTGAATGGGAGTTACCTGTTATCGCTCATAACTACTGATCTTGCAAGCCCAAGAGGCATTGCTGTTGATCCCAGGGATGGGTGAGTATACGTTGGCAAATTTTTTTTTCTCTTAACATTTCTCTTTTGGAATACAAACAGCGACAGCGACAGCAACAACAACAAAAGACAAATGAACAAACAAACAAACACAAAAACGTTTTTATTATACCTTTTTTTTTCAAATTTTAGCCATTTATCAAATAGACATTGATCATTAATTATCATTATTATTTTGATAATTAGAAGATATTAGCACCTTGGAATTACTGAGCAGCTAAAATGACAGAGAACTGGATTAAGTTATGTAAATTATCATAAATGTTTATCGCAGAGGTACAGCATGGCCTCCAAAATACACACAAACTATATAGATATCACACACGCCAAAACAAAGAATTATAATGACAGGGCTGCAAACAGCGGCCGGTCAACGGACAATGTCCGGTCAAAATTGGGTACTGACGGGACAAATCCTTGGTTTGCCGGACATCTTGTCCGGTCCTTTACCGACTCGTTCAAAGAAATTTTAATTTTTAACTGTTTGCTAATCACAAGGGACACAGTCATGTTTCCAAAAGAAAAAAAAACCAATATAAAAGTAGACAAATTAGTGGTCGAGAAATTCCCGGCAGTCGCAAGTTTCCATGATGTCATCAAGTCCTGTCGCGACTGCAAATCATCGTGTCTTCCGTTATTTTATCTACTTTATTTAAGTGTTCCGAGTTAGTAGAGGGTTTTACCTTTGGCTTGATACCATCATTTACTCTTAAATAAAGTGATTGATTGTTTGATCGATTGAATGATCGGAAAGCACCCTCACGAAGAATAATCGTGCTGCATCGAGAATACTCCAAGTAGCATTTGTTGCAAAGTGAAAAAAGCGAGCAAAAGGCCCAAAACCTGGAGAATCCGACCACTCTTTCGCTCTAACAAAAAGAAAGCAGTGTTAGAAAAAAAAAAGAAGTTGAAAAGAACAAACCATATGTCACTTCAAGCAAACCCAGCAAAACGTGCTTGGTTACTAAGCTTTCTGGTGATTAACTCAAAAATGGAGCGTATAACACAAAAAGTGGAAGAATAAGGTTGTCTTTAAGGGATTCTAAATGGAAGAAAGTCAGCGAGCGCAACAATTGCACTTGGAATAAGACGCCATGCATTTTATACAATTACTTACAGTGGTGCCGAATTTCGAAACCCTAAGACGATACGAGTTAAAGTTAAGTGTTTCTTGTTTATATTTAAGCTTACATTTCAGTTAGCTTAATTGAGAGATCGATTGAACCCCTTCAGCTTTCCCACATTCTGCGTATTTTACTTAAAGTTCAGTTGTAGAACTGATGTGGCGATTGCCGAAGTGTAATATTTAATTATAAGGGATATTGCCAGATGTAAAGTAAAACGGACAATTGCGGTTGTATCTTGCGTGACCGTTCCGCGTACTCAATGCGAGGCTGCTTCTGCAGTAAAGAGTAGTAAAATTATTCACTTGTAATTTTTATTGCCAGACCGACTTGGATTCAGTTGTTTTTTAGTTGTAAAATGATTACTGTGCAATCTGGGTTCACTATCGCAAGAGTTCCGACTGTTAAAATTTGACCGGCCAAAAACGGGTAGTGTCCGAGCAAAAGCATGTTTGACCGGACAAAGTGACCGGCGACTGCCCGTTAGTTATTTGCAGCCTTGAATGATGGTTAACAATCTTTAAAGATCAAACCCCAGGTACTGTTACTTACATGGACAATAATATTTAAGATAAAAACGAGTTACGGAGAGCATTACCAGTGCAATGAAAGTTAGTGTTCTTTAAGGCGTGACTGAAAGCTGATATGAAGATGGATTTCAACTTTATGAACATTATTTTTTCCCTTTAGTTACCTGTTCTGGACTGACTGGGGTAACCACGTGATTGAGAGAGCCGGAATGGATGGAACAAACCGCAAGACCGTTGCCAACACGGCTGTTTATTGGCCCAATGCCCTGACCTTGGATTACCCTACCCGTCAAGTTTATTGGGCAGATGCCCACCTTGACTACATTGGAGCCATGAGCTATGATGGTAAAGGCAGGAGAAGGGTTGTCGGTTATCCAAATGTTGCACATCCATTTGCCATCACCGTGTTTCGAAATTATCTTTACTTCTCAGACTGGACGAGGCATGCAGTTGTGAAAGTGGAGAAGTTCTCTGGCAATGACAGTACAGTTTTCTTAGCGAATCTCAGACAACCGATGGATGTCCATGTGTATCACAGCGCCAGGCAGCCACCTGCTGCAAATCCGTGTCAAGATGGCAAGTGTGATTGCGAACAGCTTTGTCTTATCACACCAGTTCCAAAGAGAGAATGTATATGCAAGTGTAGAACAGGATATCAGTTAGCAGATGACGGCAGGTCGTGCAAGAAGTTGGAGACCTTTCTGATCTTCGTGCGTAGAACAGAAATTGCTGGTATACCCAAAGAGGTGAATTCATCTGGTGATGCCATTCTTCCACCGCTTGGGCTGGGACATGCTGTAGCCATTGACTATGATGTCAAGGAACAGATGATATACTTCTCAGATAATAGACGAGACAACATTAGCAGAGTCGGTCGTTTTGATAGAAAGGGGGAGGTTTTGGTCAAATCGGTGACGAGTGTGAGTGGCATGGCAGTGGATTGGCTCGGTCGAAACTTGTATTGGACAAACGTAGATAAACGTGAGGTGGGAGTAGCGAAGTTGAATGGATCTTTCAAGAAAGTGTTATTTCATGAAGGTGTGGCGAGACCTTTGGCTATTGTGGTACATCCCCTGGACGGGTAAGTTGAATTCTTTCATTCTCAGAATCTGGAAGCCAAATACTATTCATTTCTACGTTGACTAGTTGACAATCTGTGGAAATTTTGGCAGAAATGACGATTCTGACGAAATCTAGCCAAGATTGTTGACGAAATTGTACGAGAGAATGGATATTACCTGTTTAGAAGGGCCCCAAAAAGTTGACGAATTTGGCGAAAGTGACGATTCGTACGAAATTTCGCCAAGGTTGTTGTCGAGAGTATTCGATTTGACGAAATTTCGTCAAATCTGCCATTTTCGTTAGTGCGTGCATGTCTGGACATCAGTGAGAATTTCCCCAATTTGTTATTCCTTCAAACTCTGAGTGATTGGCTTCTTATTTCTGCTTACAACGTTACCTTCGAATCAAACGTAAAGATCCCGAGAATACACGTAATTATCATAAGACCTGTCCGGCCCCGCTCGCGCAATCCCATAGAAAACCACAATAAAAGCTGACGTGTGCATGGCCTGATGGGTTGACGCGAGCCGGTCCCGCCCTGCTGCGTTTGCCTTTCTATCGCGGGTTTGAAATTTTCAACACCTAGTGATCATATGATTTAACGCTTTTTGACTGAATTTGGTCGGAATGGACGGGAGAATATTTGGCTCTCGGTCATGAGGCACAGACTTCGCTGCACTCAGTCCGTATGTCATGACCGAGAGACAAACATTTTTACGTCCGGCCCTTCCACTCAGTCAATAAGTACATATAATCACCAACTTCTCAAGTCTGGGATCATTTTCCTTTATCCTCATGACCTTAATATTTGATTCAGGGGTGATGTTCTACGGAGAAATTAAATAATAGTCACTCTTCGGGATTAAAAGAATGAACTCTAAGTGCATGATAATGTATTAGATTTGTAAGGAGAATTGTTATACTCAACACTACTAGATGTCAAATGGTGAAAAAGATGGGGTTTTCGTCCTTAACTGACTTTCGGAGCTGTCTCTCTTAAATGACGTTTACTAAGATGTGCTGCTTGTTTGTGAACACTAGGCGAATGTATTGGAGCGACTGGATTACTCCAGCCAAGATAGAAGTAGCCAACATGGATGGCACGGGACGTCAAATCTTTGTACAAGGTGGGGGTTTAGCTTGGCCCAATAGCCTCAGCGTCGATCACGCCTCAAGGAAACTCTACTGGTCAGATGGTAGGACTGACACCATTGAATGCGTGAATCTTGATGGCTCTGACCGTAAGATGGTACTTCGGACCACGGGTCATCCTCTTGGTCTTGACGTTCACAATGGATTCGTCTACTGGACTGATTGGAACAGTATACGAAGTGCAAAGATCGGGAACCCATCTTCTGAGGCAGTACTAAGGTCAGGCCTGGAGGGTCTGTTGGAAATCAGAGTTTATGACTCTATGAGACAAACAGGTAGGTAGGTCCATGGTAAAATTGGCTGAAACCCCGCGCAAGAGTGCCAGAATGCTAGAGTGGCACTATATTAAATGGGATGACTTTTCAAGATGTTACAATTAAGGTGATATGAATCGTCTTAAGAGATTTGATACTGCAATTTGCTTCATGCCATTGCAGTGTGGCCATGTTCGCGTATTAATATTTTTAGTCTATGATCAGTGTTATACATTTTGGTACTTTCTTTTAACAGGCAGTAGTCCCTGTAGCATTGGCTCTGATGGCTGTAGCCACTTGTGTCTGTTGCGTCCAGGAGGTTACACGTGCGCCTGTCCTTATGGTATGCATTTGGAGTATGGCAGTAACAAGACATGTATTGGTGAGTGAAGCTGAGAGCGAACAAACACAGAGAAAAACAAACCAAGCAAACAAAAAAGATGAATAAACCTTTTCGTTCGCTCTACTGAATGATGTAATTAACTTGTAAGGAGAAGTTCTAAGTTGTTCAAATCTGCCAGTGAATTGAGGGTGTTCGTGACAATTTTTTGGGGTTGAGAAGTGAGCGCTGCGGTCTGCGAGGTATCTCGCGAGCCAAAAAGAAGATTCGCTAATGATGAGGGCCTTCTTGCAAGCCATTGTTAAGTTTGAAAGTAACCGGAATAAAGTGGCTTTATCGAGCGCCAGCAGCATCCCTTTCAGAAGAGCTCAAGATTATAGGTTCGAGAGCGAGGTCTTTCCTTGAAAATCTAAGCAAAAAATTTCAGTTGAAGGGGCATTCGTATCATTTGACAACAAGCCGCATTCTTTTGAAAGAAAAGAAGAGACACTTTAGACAGACTCAAATGCATTTGTAATCTACGGAAAACTGGACAGCGACTTTTAATGTGACCTGCATTATAGAAACAGGACACTGCAAAACAAAAACAGGCTAAACAGCATCAACAAAAACAAGGAAATCTCTAATTAAATCAGTCGGCACTTCCAGAACCTTATTCATTCAAGTCCCATTTTGAATTGATTTCTTCTCATCTGATTCGTTTGACATCTACGAAGGAGGTTAAGGTCGTTACATAACCATGCGGCACTTGATTTGGTTTTGATTTACAAGATTTGCCGACAGGCACGGACACCGCAACAGCTTTGCGCCAGTTACTGTGGGCCCAATAACCCACCCATCCCACCCCATGGGAGGGCATCCATCACACAGTAATCTCGTGCGTGGGAAATTAACGTCTCCTACCCCTAACCTTGCAGGAGACGGGACCTCCATTTATTCGTCCCTGTCCTAGAAGACTAGAATATCTAACCGTTTCTTGATATTATAGAAAGGCAGCATAATCTTCTCAATTATTTCAAGACCTTGAGTGTTGGTCCGGCCGGGGCTCGAACCCTCGACCTCCCGCACAACAGTCCAGCGCTCCATCCATTGAGCTAACCGGGAGGCGACACTTGTTTTTCGCCGATATAGGGCCTTGTTCCACGTGCCTGTAATGCAATGTTTTTTTACTGTCCCTTTATTCGAATAAGCGGGGAGCTTCGAGTGGGAGTTACCGAAGCGTTGTAACAGAATCAAAATCAAGTGAATAAACAGTGACTGAATATGGAAGCGTGGTACAGCTTTTTCACGTCTACAAAAGTAGTCGACTTGCCTTCTAAAGAAACTGTGGGGCTGCGTCTTTGGGTTGCATCTCAAGTTAATTTGGTTTATAATGTAAATTGGCCACCGTGAAGAGCGGTTTAATGATTCGAGCTCGGTGAATAAAACCATATTATCTTTTAAGTTCGTAATTGAGTTGTCTAAGAGTAAATGAACTTTCAACTTGTACTTGACGCTATTTTTTGTCTTTTTGAAATCCAGTCAGTGAATCTATTAGCCCTACACCTCAATGCCCAGCAAATAAATTTGCTTGTCACGACGGGGCCTGCATTCCCAACAACTGGAAATGTGATGGAGAGTTTGACTGCCTGGATCACTCGGATGAGACGCACTTTGCAGAGTGTCGTAAGTTTGATTTGAATGAACTTTAGAAGGAGCAATTTCAGCTTTCGTAGGATCAATTGACACAGTGACATCTATTCACACACTTGCCGTACAGCACTCGTATATGCGAACGTTTTGCTCTTATGAAGAAAAGGAGAAAACTTCGGCAGCTAGATTTGCTGCTGAAGGTGCGATTTGTAACTGCAACATCTTAGTCACTTAGTCCTATCTTGCACCATTCTCTTGACCAATCAAATGCAAAGGTACCCTTAATTACGACGTGGTTGTCCGCGTTTTCCCGCGCTCAAGGTTGTGTGCTTGTTTTTACTTTGAGTTCTCATTGGCTCCTAAAGGTATTTTTCCTTCTTTTCATTGGCTGTTGTGATTACTTTGGTTTTGGTTTTACGACACTCAGTCGAAATGGTATCTCGTTGCGTAGTCTTGTCTTCAACAGTGAAACATTTTTATAAAATGATATTAATGCTTCATTTTCTGTTCTACAAAAATTTTGCCTCTTTTCTTCGGTTGTCTCAGTGTAAAGCCGTAAGATGTGTGGTGAATTTTTAAAAAACGATCGCTCGGTAGACTTTTTTTCTTTCCTAGCGACTACAGTTTTATTTGTGGCAATCATTTCACGATTCAGGTCGCCAGATGGTGGCTTTGAAGAAAGTTCTCCCAGGAACCTTGTCGATGAGCTCATCAAATACTTCCATTCCTTTTTGTTTTGTTTTGTTGCTTTCTTTGATTTTAGCTGGTGTATCTTGCAAGGACAACCAATTCCGCTGCTTGAATAGCGGTAAATGCATCCCTGAAAACTGGTATTGTGATGGTGATAACGACTGTGGAGCCGTAGATCGCTCGGACGAGTCGAATTGTTCACTGTCCGCCTGCACTAAGGGACAATTCCGCTGTGGCAATGGCAAATGTGTTCCTGTTAGTTGGAGATGTGATGGGTTAAATGATTGTGTTGATGGTTCGGACGAAATGAAATGTGGTAAGTGACCCAAGTCTACCTTAAATTTAAAACCCCATTCACATCAAAGTGCTCGAAAGCGGTATTGTTAAACACGGTTGAGAATTGTTTCCTTTCTAAGAATACACATGAAAAAATTTCTCAGTACTAGTTGGTTAAGATGAATGCAGTTTTCAGTTAATTCAGTGAAGAAGAGAGTTCATTCAGTGCAGAAGAGGGTTAAATCAGTGCAAAAAAAAGAAACAAACCAGACATTCTGATTGGTCAGAATGATTAGTCAATGTCAAGGTCAAGGTCAAGGTCAATATCACTTGCAGGGTTTGAATAAATTATTTTTGCACGTGATGCGCGCGCTTTTCTTCTGCGTAGTTACGAGAAGCTACCTCGTATTTTTTCATGTATACTATTAATACATAATCACATGATTTCTCGTGCAATTTGGAATAAATAAGCACTTCTAAAGTTTTTTAAAGACCACAAATTGCACTGGCCCTACGGGCTCATGCAATTTTGTTAGTCTTTGAAAAAATGTACTCGTGCTTATTTATTCCAAATTGCACTCGAAATCTTGTGATTACCTATACAAAAAGCTGTTTAAAGTAATTTTTGTCGACTTCCAATCGAATTTAACACCTTGAAAAGTCAAGTTTGTGACTACTTCAACGTTAGGAAATATTCATCTTTTCAGTTTTCTGTTGCTGATCTTCATTCTGTTAAACTTAGCTTAACAGTGTACAAGAGTTTTTACCAACCCCCGTCCCTCTTAGTTTGTGACACTTGCGAGCACTACCAAATTAGGTAATGAAGGCGTACGAGCAAAATCCGACAACCGGACGCGACAAAAATAGCGAGTTCTCAGAGAGAATTTTCTAGAGTTTATTGTGAGTTATAAGTCCTCCTTGTGAGTTGTTTCTTTACACACAAACAAGAAAACGAAGAAGGATCCGTGAGTTCCATGCAACGTTGTGAAGAACAGCTCAACAGAAACTTATTTGAAGACAACCTTTCTTATTGATGACTCCATCGTTTCATGTTATGCAGAGAACCAAAGTTGTCCCGAGCAGGACTTTTCCTGCGCCTCTGGAGAATGTGTGCCGTCCGATTGGCGATGTGACGGTGACGATGACTGCGGTGATAACTCGGATGAACAGAGCTGTCCCCCTAGGCAGTGCACGCAGAGGGAATTCCGATGCCTGAATGGCCAGTGCGTTTCTGGAAGCTGGCGATGCGACGGGGCTAATGATTGCCAAGATGGAACTGATGAGGCAGGATGCCGTAAGTGCTTGAAAAATACGCTAAAGGCGTTTTATTCTGGTTTCCTCATATTCCGCGCATGTTTTTGATTGTGCGCACCGCTTTTTTGTCATTGAAAGGTCGGCCATCTTTCTCTCAGTGAAGCCACTCGCCATTTTTGAACCTGTATAACTTACCTTGCAGCTACTGTGGAACCCAATGGCTGTGGTGCAGACAAGTTCTTGTGCGACAATTCCCAGTGCATCCCCAAACGATATGTGTGTGATCTTGACGACGACTGTGGTGATGACTCAGACGAACTCTCAAACTGCTCGATATCAACTTGTGCTCCTGACGAGCTCACTTGCAACAATCAGCGATGTGTCAGGAGGGACTGGGTCTGTGATGGGGAAAACGATTGCGGTGATATGACTGATGAGCATGACTGCCGTGAGTCAATGGGCCATTTTACAGTTGTGTACTTAGTTGCCAAGCCTTTGATTTGGAGTGAGGCTGAAGGTGACCTTGTTGTCATAGAGACCAGTATCCAGTTAGCATGATAACAGTTAATTTACGTTTAAATACAGCAACGTCTATATCATAACGAGGTCACCCCAAGCCTCGCTCCTGTTCAAAGGCTTTGTAACCAAGCACGCAACTGTAAATTGGACTATTTCCAAATAGACTCCAATCTGGCGTGCGTCTGTTTTGCAATAGATCACGGATGACGTCAAAATGGATTATTTTATTTTCCATATTTAGACAGGCTGGCCCAGTTCAGTTTTAAAGCTGGTTAAAATAGGCCTTTATAAGCAATAACCAGGCCAGGCCTCGTCACCGGGAGCTACGTTCCCTATTCATTGCGAGAAGTTCAAGTACGTGGGTTCTTTAACGTCCCCTGCTATAAACCAGTACAGAGAAGATGCAGGAGACGGGGCCAGCTGTTTATCGTGTTTATAATGAAAGTAGTAATAATAATAATTAATGATAATACTGATAAAGATAATTATTATGATACTCATCATAATTAGCGCTAATTGTATGATAATAACGAGACCGATTACTATAATTGTTATTGTTATTATTATTATTATTATTATTATTATTATTATTTTTTTTTTATTATTATTTTGTTGTTAAGTATTTCTTGATTTCAGTTTTCCATTAATCATTTTGTTCCGCCAGCTGTGACTCCTACACCGTGCAGCCCTTCTCAGAGACAATGTTTGAATTCGTCAGTGTGTTTGGACGAGAAGAAGTTTTGTGATGGGCGAGAAGACTGCCCGGATGGCAGTGACGAGGAAGTAGGGTGTGTGCTTACTGGATGTCAAGAAGAAAACGGAGGCTGTTCCCAAGTCTGCAACCATCTCCCAGAAGGTGTGTATCCAGGCAGCTATGGGTTTACAGTCGCGGATCCAGACATTGAGCTGAGGGGAGCCCAGTTTTTTTTTTTGTGCGAGTACACCTAACGGCTTTTCTTCATTCTGCGTTTATTTTTTTACCCAAAATAAAAGGGAGAGGGGGTAGGGGGGGACTGGTTTAGATGAAAGACAGTTACGGACGGTCTACCGACTCCTGTGAGACCTCGGACCGCCATCAGTTGAACTTGCGAGTTTCGCCTTACGGCACAGCGGCCCATTACACTATTGACAGTCGCTTATGTAAAAAGTTAGTGAAACCCTTAGTCCAGGTCATACTTGCTGTGATCACAGAGAGAACTCGGTGTTGATTCGCATCACGGCAGTTCTCACTTGAATGTCGAACGTAATTCGGATTGCTTTGGTTTTGATGTACTTCGCCATTTGATTGGTCCAGAAAACTCGTGCCACCTTCTCAACCAATCAGAATCAAAGCGAAATCAATCTTCAAATGAATAAAGGCTGATAGTTTCTAAAGAAACTGTTTGGGGCTGCATCGGTGGGGGTAACGAAATAATTTGGATATATCAACAAAGTTGAAATGGTAAATTGGCCACCGTAACGATTACAAAAGCTGACGTTTCGAGCGTTAGCCCTTCGTCAAAGCGAATAGAGGAATTGTGGGTTGTGCGTGCTTTTAAAGGCAGAAAATGGAGCTACGTTATTTGTGGGAACATGGCAACGAGAAAAACACCCCCGACGAAGGGCTAACGCTCGAAACGTCAGCTTTTGTAATCGTTACGGTGGCCAATTTACCATTTCAACTTTGTTGATATATCCAAATTATTTCGTTACCCCCACCGATGCAGCCCCAAACAGTTTCTTTAGAAACTATCAGCCTTTATTCATTTNNNNAAATTGTTATATTTTAATTGTATTTTTATATAATACACATCTAGTATTTAGGACCTCTATATAAACCACTATTGTGATGGAGCTTCCTAATAAAAGATTGTTATTATTTCACGCTAGAAACATTGCCTGGAATTTGCCTTTGTTTGCCAGTAGGAAATTATTTTATACCAGTCGGATACAGTCTTAAGGCTGATAGTTTCTAAAGAAACTGTTTGGGGCTGCATCGGTGGGGGTAACGAAATAATTTGGATATATCAACAAAGTTGAAATGGTAAATTGGCCACCGTAACGATTACAAAAGCTGACGTTTCGAGCGTTAGCCCTTCGTCGGGGGTGTTTTTCTCGTTGCCATGTTCCCACAAATAACGTAGCTCCATTTTCTGCCTTTAAAAGCATGCACAACCCACAATTCCTCTATTCGCTTTGACGAAGGGCTAACGCTCGAAACGTCAGCTTTTGTAATCGTTACGGTGGCCAATTTACTATTTCAACTTTGTTGATATATCCAAATTATTTCGAAATCAATCTTGACTTGTGCACCCGCGTTTTCCCACGCTTCAGGTTGTTTGCTTATTTTCCCGCGCTTCGGGCTGTTTGCTTGTTTTCCCACGCTTCAGGCTGTTTGCTTGTTTTTACCTTGAACTCTCATTGGTGGTTCGTTGAAGTCTCCTTTAATCTGATTGGCCGTTTTGATTACTTTGGTCGAAAAGCAGTTAGACACTAGTTATTCTTAAGAAGAGTTCTAGTCCAAGAAAATTGGCTCGCATTGTTTTTAACGAGGGAAACTTATGAAGGAGACCTAAAAAGAGGAGCTTTGTAAAATTTTTCCTTTCAATCAAAGTTTGTCTTCACAAGTCTCGCTCCAGAGAGGTTTCCGTCAAAAGTATAACGGGTTTTCGGATTTGGTATCCGATGTGGCTTTTGGATTTTCCTGGTTGGGTTCTGGTTTCTTTTCTTTGCTCCACTTATCACCACTGTACGATTTTGCTTGCGGTTTTTGGTTTTGATTGAATTTTTTAGCGGTTTTGAGGTTTTAAATGATTTTTTCTTCGGTTTTGTGGTTTCTTATAGACCCCAATACCCCCATCTTTTATCCACATTTCTAAGGATAATTTGTCAAGGTACTTCTCGTAAATCCAACTGAAGTGCACCAGTTTCACCGACCAAATACAGCGATTGTTTGGTAATGAATTTTTATCAATTAAATTATTTATATATATTTTTTTCCCCAACAGGCATCTTCTGTTCGTGTCATGAGGGATTTTCTTTGGACGATGATGATGTGACGTGTCTTGATGTTGACGAGTGTGACAACCCCAGCTCGTGTAGCCAACAGTGCTTCAATGACAGAGGATCATTTTGGTGTAAATGTGTGGAAGGCTATAAGCTAGGGAGTGACTTGAAACGATGTAAAGCTGACGGTAAGAATTGCTAAGTGGCATTTTGTTGCGTTATTTTGCAAAACATGTTTAATTTTAAAAGAGGTTTAACTAAATGAAAATGTGAAACAAAGAACTGAAAAGCTGAATTTTCCACAGGATTCAAGTAATCGTTAACTCGGTGTATTATCAGTGTGCTAAATTTAAGTTAGGCCTCTAACTCTGTTTGTTACAGAGCTTGCCTTGTTTTTTTATTCTTCCGAAACTTCGTTATCATACCAAAGTTGATAGACATTTCATGTAATAGAGACATGCTCTTCTACAGATAACATCCCGCCATACCTTTACTTTTCAACTCGGCGTCAAGTAAGGAAGATCGATGTTCGTCACGGATCAAGCTATCTTACGGTGCTGGATGGTCTGTCAAACACAATCGGTTTGGACTTTGACTGGTCAGAGCAGCGTTTATACTTTTCGGATGTCACTAAAGATAAAATAATACGATGCTATCTCAATGGCAGTGAATGCGAGGATGTGATAACAACTGGACTTTCGATGACAGAAGGTGAATTGGTTATCTGTAACAGAAGCCTTTATTTTAAAATAAATATTTTGATCACAAAATTTTCCTTTGGGATATAGGTTCTCTCCTGAGTCTTCAGTGTTATCATGTCAGTAGACATGTGCCATATACCTCGCGAGTTGTTAGAATATTGCAGTCCTTGGCCCAGGCGTTCAGAGGGCGAATAACGATATCCAACAGATGATATCTTTCCAACAGATAATCTCTATTCAGCAGATACGTGGGAAAGAAAAAGAAAAAAGCTTATTACGCAGTCCGCTGGAGATGGGGATTCATCCAGTGGATAGCAATATACACCCTTCGAAAAACCGGGGCCAGAGGGAAAAATCATCGCGTGTCATGTGTTGTCCACTTGAACAGAATTATCAATTCGTCACATAGGATTGGCTTTTTCTAGATACTTCTGGAATCTGCGAAAACGGAATTGATCTCATAAATAAAAAAAAAAAAAAGCAAAACAAAAACAGAGGAATAGCCTTAAAAACATTTCCTTTATGAAGATATAAAATCTTTTTAGCTAGTAAACTTTGGAATGCGCTACCCCCTAAACTCAGAGAATCTCAAGATATTGTTTCATTCAAGCGTTCTCTTAAAGCCCACATGGCTTAGCGGTAGTGATTGTAAATATTGTTATTGTTAATATTGTAACTTTTTGTTGATAGCTCTTGTCGTATGATCTTCGATCCTGTTTTTAGTTATTTAATAGATATTATTTGTATTCTTACAGAAATTATGTTTTCTTTCTAATTGTACATACACGTACACGTTTTAACGAGAACTTCTGTACTGCTAGGTGTCACGTGTTTAAATAAAGGATACTAGCTTGATCTATCGGATCAGTATCTGAGCAACTTTGCCCTACCTCTCTCCTGACAGTCACAGTCACTTGATGACAAGCCAGGGTTAAAGTTTGGTCAGGGGAGGGATAGGTGGGTAGTTGTTCAGGTGCTAACATTTATCCGTTCCTTTTTCGGTGTACATGATGCTAACTGTGATCTTGATGTTCCTGTTTCAGGGCTTGCTGTTGACTGGATTGGACGCCATTTGTACTGGACTGATATGCACACCCATCAAATTGAGGTTTCTGATTTAGAAGGCAAATGGCGTATGGTGTTGATTTCTGATGACCTCAAATCCCCTCGTGGAATTGCAGTTGACCCAAGGGATGGGTAGGTAACTCCAATTTTTTACCCAGACGTCTGACCCGATAGCCTCGCTTTCGTGTATGCTAACACAAGAAACCGCTGTCCAACTTAACTACGCACGTAAAATTGGAATAAGAGCTATTAGCTGGCAGTTTACACTGATATTTTACGCCATATTTCTCCGTCCTGCTTGAAGATGCAGCGAACTCTCCAGTGATGGCGATAAGTGATATGTGTTAAAAGAAGGTGCCGCCTAATGTGATCGGACGAAACATCAAAAAATAACGAAACTAGTCTGGGGGTCCTTTGGAACGCCTCTTAATCATAAACCAATCTCGAGAGCCTTCGTAACGGTTCTCTAAAACACTCTGTTACTGAACTAGATAACTACATAATGACTACTAAGGGCGGACAAGATTATTGTTGATAAAGAGTGTCACTAGGTTGCACACACGCATACGCTATTACAAGTGCTTAAACACTTTCCGCACAGTTTTTGTAATTAGAGTCTTTTCAACAAATGCATACTTTCTTTTTTTACTGATAGGCTTCTTTTCTGGTCTGACTGGGGTTCTGCCAAGTCCAGGATAGAGAGAGCGAACATGGATGGAAGTTTTCGACAAGTTATCGTTAGCACATCCATTGAGTGGCCAAATGGCATCACAATTGACGTTGCTAACAGGTTTGTTCGCCGGCCCCGTTGTTGACATCTCTTTCACCAAACTGGATGCATGCGGCGTTTCTTTTCTTGACAGTATGCTGGAAAGTTGTCATCTTAGCTATGGCTTCGCTTTAAAACAAGTTCGCTGTACTTCAGTGGTAGGCCATAGAGGAAACCATAAGAAATAACCGGTGTTACACAAAATTTGGTGATAGAAATCTTTAAAAGTAAGAAAGGGTGGTAATGGGAAGGCATAAGACTTTTCTAACACAAATTTTTTTATATACTGGCATTTCGATAATTTGCCATTTTGTTTCGAAATTATCAGAAACGTGCACACATTGTGAGTGACTGACTTTAAGCTGAGGTAACCAGGCTCTGACGACCAAAAAACACGATTTATAGTCTCCTCTCTCGTCTGTGCATGCGCAGGCCCTTGACCGCTGTGCTACTGAGACTGCATTCGATAGAGCGGCAAAATCGAGCCACTTGAAATTTTTGCACTTCATAGTACACGACCTAAAGGAGAAGTTGTAACTTGGCATTTCACTTTTGCATTTTCTTCCTCAGGCGACTCTACTGGATCGATGCAAGGCTGGATTACATCGCCTTTTGTAGCTACAACGGATCTCAGCGTTACACAGTGCTTCGAGATGCAGGAAAAATTCGTCATCCGTTTTCCATTGCCTTGTTTGAGGACGCGTTATACTGGTCGGACTGGAGTGATAAACAGGTCAAACAGGGAAATAAGTTCCATGGGGGTAATACTACGTTAATTCACGCTGCTGGGTTTCGTCCTATGGACCTACACGTGGTCCATCCTCTTCAACAGCCACAAGGTAAATGTACTGTGCAAAACTACCGTTAAATCCGAGCTCCAAGCCACATTCGTCTGGCGACTAAGCTTGAAGAAAGTAGCGAGAGAAGCTCAGTGGTCACAGGGCTGTCACTAAGTTTTGAGGCAGTCGCCGTTAAATTACAAAATCATTATCGGTTAATCAGATTATCGATCGAAGTGTGTGTGTGTGTGTGTGTGTGTGTTTTTTTAAATCTATCTTTATTGTAATTCCCCCCTTTTTAACCTAAACTGACACCATTGAAAGGGAGATCCATGATTAATTAAGAATTTCTGTTTCAGGTGTAAATTACTGTTTGAACAACACTTGTTCACACCTATGTCTCCTGAAGCCGTTGGGGTATAGTTGTCACTGTCCTGTGGGTATGGTGCTACAGGACGACAACGTCACGTGCCTTGGTAAGATTGCTTCTGTTTGCCTTAAGTTATCCTATCGTGTTCTGGAACCCGGTTGTTACTCGTCCTGAAAGCTGGTTTAATTTGTTTTTGTTTGACAATTTAGTGCGGTTTTAATATTTAAGATTGAGAGAGTAATAGTCTTGAAATCGTTTGATTTCCTTACGAGCTTATGTTTTGCAGGGTATACAATGGATAAACGTTACTTCAGCACACTTTTGATCGAGTTTTGTTAAGCCTAAACCAAAGAAATGGCAACCACCAATCGATTTTTTTTTTGTTTCATCCTATTGGTCGAGATGTTGGTGCGAAGTTGCTGAAGCAATCATAGGGCGGATCCGGGTGAAATCAATATAGTCCCAATTTTCTTTTCACACTCAACTAGAAAATTTCTTTTTTCCATAGAGGAAGTGTTCCTACTCTATGTCAAGACGAACAGAATAAGTGGAATATCCCTGAAGCCGAGTATCACCAAGGACCAGATGTTACCTGTGCGACAGTTAAAGACGGCTGTCGGAGTTGACTTCAGCGTAGAAGAACAGTATGTGTTCTGGAGCGACATCAGTGCTGATTCTATCTCTAGGGTGTTTGTGAATGGCTCAGGCCGGGAAACAATTATCGATGGTGAGTGGTTTGAGAGAGCAGAGTGAGGGAAGTCTGAGTTTTTGAGTTTTGAAATCGGCTCATCTCTCGGCGCAAGTCAAATGATAGCCCTTTTCCTAGTTCTCTAAACACGTTGAAAACAAGGCTAAGTATTGATCCTTTGTTGCGAAAATGAGGTTTTGCTCTAACCCTCGTTTTCAAGCAGAAGCAGTGGAAATCTAAAGTTAACAAATGGTAAACACCACAGCGTACACTATTGAGTTATGGATGCACGCGGGAGGTTGCTAAAGCAACTCTAGCTTCTTGAGTGCTTAGCAAACCTCCCAAGTGCATCCATAACTCAATAGTGTACGCTGTGATGTTTACCATTTGTTTTATAACATAAGATTGATACATTGTAGCTAAAGAGTTCCCTTTTAGTTTTCACATCTTACGTGACCAGAAAAAACAAGCGCGCGCGGAAAAATAGTCTTTGCATTTGCTAACGTCAGCAGCGTACACCCATGGGCAAATGGGGGACGCTAAATTAACGAATCAGAGCGCGCACTTTACTTTGGTTATGTTATAAGCTAACTTATTGTAAGGTTGTCTGGGAGGGGGTGCGGGTGAATGAGATGGGAGTCCGAGAGCAGCCCACCCCCGAAAGGAGTAGTACTTAACCAATATTATCGCATGGGTTGGAAACGAGAAGAAAGCTTGTAGTTGATTTGGCCTCCCAACTTTGTAGAAGATTTGAACTTCTCCTTCTGTATTGAACACTATTTTTTTCGCTTTTTTTTTTTTTTCAATTTGGTAGGTTTTGGTCAAACAGAAGGCATAGCATATGACTGGACAGCAAAAAATATATTCTGGACTGATCAAGGAAAGAAAGCTATTGGAGTAGCTCGACAGGATGGCAGTTACCAAAAGATTCTGCTCTCCTCAGGTCTGGCAAAGCCCAGGGCGATTGTGGTGCATCCTTCGATGGGGTAGGTGTCGCTTTAGAAAGAACTTTTCCCTCCTCTCGCAGCCAGCGGCGCCATCACTTTTCGCTGCAACGACTGCTAATATCACCTGCCGATCTTGGATCTTTTTGTGATGCTTTAGTTAGTTTCTTAAGCGACAGGACTACAAAATTTGTAATATATCGTATTTTTTTTTTCACCGTTTTGTGCCCCCTGTTAACTCAAATGTTGTAAGCCAAGTCCCTTCCCTTTCAATTTAACAATAAAAAATGACAGTCATCCAAGTCTTTTTTTTTCAATTACCACCTGACAGAGCTGGAATTCAGGGTGTTTCAAAGAGGAGTTAGTGTTGCGGTGGTCAGTTATTTGTTGAATGCTATTTTCAGGGATTCAAACAAAAAATGGAGGCTGTATGAATCTATCATAAAATTGATACTTGAAAATAACGGAACCTTTTTTAACCACCTTCACATAGTTGTTTTTTATACGGTTGTTGTTTTGTTTATTTGTTTGTTTTGTTCGTTCGTTTGTTTTTTGTTTTTACCATGAAGTCTGCTTTTCTGGACCGACTGGGATGACAAAGACCCCAGGATTGAGCGAGCTTTCATGGATGGCTCAAAGAGAACCCGTCTGAAGAATTCTGGTCTCAAATACCCTAACGGACTTGCTATAGATTTTAGCTCCAATCGGCTATACTGGTGTGATGCTGGAAAAGACAATACCAATATTGGGTCCATTTCGTTCGATGGAACATCAACCAAAATTCACTATGCGAATTTACACCAGCCATTTGGATTGGTTATTTACAAGGATGAGATTTTCTGGACCGACTGGCAGAAACAAAGCATCTATCGAGGTCCTAAGAATAGCAGAAGGAAGACTGTGCTGAAGAAAGATACGGAACGTGGGTATGGTGTGCGCGTATTCGCCAAAGAAAACCAACCAGGTACTGTTTGGTTAAAAAGAAATGCTTATTCAAGAGAACATGTTGGATAATTCCATTTAGTTGTGCGCACTTTTCTTTACGGGGACAAAGGAGCCACTAAAATTTTCCTCGCTCTCCGATCGTGTCTTTGTAGCTCAGGTCCCGGTTGTTCGAAGGATGGATAACGCCATCCAACGAATAAATCGCTATCTAGCGCACAAGTCTTAAAGAAAACGTACGGCGCTATCCATCGGATACAGATTTATCCAGCATAGAGCGTGATCCACCTTTCGAACAAGCGGATCCAGTTGGTTATCGGGTGACGGAAAGTTTTTAGACTAATTACATAGAAAAGTTAAACAAAACCAAAGGTATCTCGGATTTTTGTTGGCACTCTAGCTCCGTCAGAATTGAACTTAAGCAACTGCAAACAGAAATCCATCTCGTGGCTTTAAGCTTCCTTGTTCAAATTATGAGTAGATCAATGCTATTAGCACTGCAATCATCTGAGTGGATAAGCGATTGGTTCATGAAATTATTTCAGGTACAAGTGGTTGTTCTGTGAACAATGGTAACTGCACCCAGCTGTGTCTACCAATTGAATCAATGGAAGTTACCTGTGCATGCGCGGTAGGATATGCATTGGCTGCTGATGGTAAAACATGTGAGAGTGTGGATACCTTTTTAATTTTCTCGACCTCAACAGGTTAGTGCGATAACTGTCGCTGTTTTGATATTGTTTTTTGAATTACGGTGTGCCTGTTTGCATGCGTACAAAGTATGATGTAGCCTTTGTGTTAGTCATTATGCTAGTTTGTCCATCTGTCTTCCTTTCCTCCTGGCTTTTGGATGTGCTTTTTTTCCGTCTGTCTATTTCTCTATCTATCTGTCTGTCTTTCTGTCAGTATGCCAGGCTGCCTGTCTGTCTGCTGATCTGTTTGTTAGCTAGTCTTCCTGTCTTTTTGTAAGTCGTACCGCCTTAGCGGCTGCGGTCAGTGGTCATTCCATCTGTTTGGATGTCGTTTGCTTTGTCTTACCATCGAATCTTCCACGTTCACCATGTAAGCAGTTTTCTTTCAGTCATTGCTCTTCTCCATCCTCTATTATCCCACATGGCACTGTGGGCATCATCCAAATTACCCAAAAGTGATACTTTCAAACTTTCGCAGAGATCCAAGGTGCTCCTCTTGACCCAAAGAGTGAAACAGAAGTCATGCAGCCGTTAGGAGTCCTGCGGAACTGTTTCGCGATAGACTTTCATTTCAACTCCAGTATGATTTTTTATGCCGACGATCGCACGAATACAATTGGTCAAGTATCGCGTGTTGGGACATTCAAAAAGGACATAATTAATAGTGGACTTCGAAGACCTCAAGGCCTTGCGGTTGACTGGGTAGCTGGAAACATGTTTTGGACAGATTCTGGCAATAATGTCGTCGAGGTACCTGACAATTGAGTTTTGTCTTTTACCCCTAAGTAGTTGATTGCTAAATATGAGAGTACAAACTGACGATATCATCTCAGAAAAGTAGTAAGACTGCGAACACTTACAAAACTTCCACTGTGTTGCATTACAACAAACTGAAAGACTGGGTTCTTTTTGGTGCAAAATGAAAGAGAGAGCCCCAACTTTGCAAGTATATGCGTGTGAGTCGCGCTCTTTTGGTAGTATTTATTGCACCAAGTCTGCGGTATTCGCCCTTCCAAATATCCTGTTCATCTCGCCAATAGTCCGTGTGGGAGCGACAAAACTGACTGGCCCCACACAGAAAAGACTGGGCCAGTTAAACCCGAATAGGTTCTGGCATTCCTTGGAATTTGCCTGTTTCTTTTCTGGAGAAGGCAGTTCTTGCAACCATTTCCGAATTGGGTCCGAAATGAATTTGATCCGAATCCGAATTGAGTCCGAATGGTGTTTTTAGTCCTCAAGCATCGTTTCAAACTTCAGACGATTCAACTCCCCTGATTTTACATTCATCGAAATGGAAAAGTCAGAATAATAATAATAAAGTTTTTTTTTTTTCTATTTCCAAAAGGTCAGCAGACTGGATGGTACATTCAGAACAGTGGTTATCTCTTCAGACTACACCACTAAACCCAGGGCGATTGCGGTATACCCAGCGAAGGGGCTGCTATTCTGGACAGACCATGACGTTGTAGACAAGTTACATAAGTCTGCAATGGACGGTTCGGATCGTCGGACGCTTCCAGCAAACATGGGTAAAGGAATCGTGGGAATTACTATTGACTACGAGGAAGATAAGGTGTACTACGTGGAGGATTTCCTCAACGCTGTGTGGCGAATGGATCTTGATGGTGGTAAGAACGCTCACTCATTCTGTTTGTGGTTCTGGAAGTGGAGAGGATTAATGGATTTTTCAGCCGAATTTGAAATGTAGAGTTCCCAAGATCACATCTAGTGATGTGGATTTATTTCTCGGTTGTCCCATCTTCACTTTCAAGCTACCCCGCTTTGTAAATAGGAAACTGATCTTGGTCCTTGCAATCTACCAAATTATCAAAATTGATGTTGCAAGTTGAAATTTTATAGCTTTACTGCCATGTTGCCATGTTCCAGGTTTTAGATATTTTGGATTTGTGTCCCATCTTTTCTAAGGAATTTTCTTCATAGAACAAGACAATTTCATGAGTGAACATCAGTGGGGGCTTCTTTTTCGAATTTTTTTATTTGCTGATGTGTCCATAATTACAATTGGTGGATCTTTAGAATTGAGAATGTCTGTGGTGGGGAACCGACATTAGTTATCCACGTGGGAACACGGAGAGTGTAGTGACCATAGCACTCGCCCCTCAGTGCCGTAGTTTGTGTTTGATTCGCTGACCTAGTGTGACCTTTTTCGTTTGCAAAAGGTTCTCGTTCTTACGTTTTTGTTTCTTCAAGCTCGCCGATTTTTTGCCCCTTTCATGAACGATGTAACATGGGCAAACAAGTTATTATTCACCACTTTTTATACCCTTTTTTTTTTTCAAATGATGTTTGTATATTTTTACATCCTCAAGGTAATATTGCCCCTGTTATTGGCTCCTCTATGGATCAGCCATATGGTATAACCGTACATGACCAGTTTGTATACTGGACGAACTGGAAGCGTAAGTCGGTCTTCAGAGCCAACAAGCATAATGCTACAGAAGCCACGGTTACGAGATCGCAGCTGAATGGCTTAAGAGACGTGCGCGTGTTCTCACCGAAGCGGCAATCACCTGGAGGCCCATGCGCGAATAATGGTGGCTGTGCAGAGCTATGCTTAGCTGTGTCTTCGTCTCGAAAAAGGTGAATTAATCCTGCTTTATGTGCCTGCAAATTGACAAGTCGTTTATTTATTTATTTATTTATTTATTTATTTATTTATTTATTTATCTATTCATTCCTTCTGTAAAGGTCTTTTCTGCCCACAACTGCGATCTTGTTTCACCCTTGCCGGTATCAGAAGCAAGTCTCTGTGCAAACTTGAACAATCGGTTTTGAAGGGAGACCTCGATTTGATGTGGAGTCCCTTTGCAAATTTGTCGAATTCCCTCTTTTCTTTCATACACAATGGGTTGTTTGCAGCAAACGGCAAATAACTGTGTGAGGGCTTATGCGAATACCTACTGTCTTTCTTTTTCAGGTGTGTTTGCGTGTCAGGTCGTACGGCATCTGATGGCAAATCCTGCTTAAATGATACAAGCTAACTTATTATCAGTGGAAGAAGGAAAATTGAGTTCAAAGCTGCTAGTCCTCTAAGCAGGCCGCCAAGTTATTCCACAATTTCGCGTAGACGAAGCAACATTGTCGCTTTCGACTTTGACTACGATTCAAACCTTATTTACTTTGCTGATGCAAGCAGGAAAGATATCAAAGCGCTGTTTCTGAATGGCACTGGCGTGCAGGTTGTTTTAAAAGGTATGTGGTCCTGATAGACTTGTTGCCAAGTAGAAAATTTAGATTGCTTTTCGGTGGAGTATCGTCGAGTCGAGTAGCTAATGTGTTGTTAAGAAGTAGCAGTTCTCTACCTGTGTCACAATATAACGGTTTCAAATCACTATCCAAAAGATTCTTGCATCATCATAGCCTAAAGGTGAATGGAAACTAATTAAATGCCTTACAGACAAACAGGAACAATACAGCTTGTAACCCGTCCAATACCCAAAAAAAAAACATCAAAGCTAGCAGACAAAGAAAAATAAAATAAACTACATCTAACGATGAACACTTTGTGAAAAAAAAAGCAAAACTAAACAAAACAAAACAAACAAACAAAAACAAAATAAAACTCTGTCCCACCTTTAATGTGACTTGCAATACATCTTGTAATATATCCATTTAGACGTAACTACAAAAGCTATTGCATTGGACTGGATCACCAAAGTACTTTATTGGATAGAGGACAGCAACAAACACATCGTAAAGGCGCACGTCAATTCCTCAAATCGAAAGATCGTTGTGGCCAACGCTGGTGTGACATTATTTCCGTTGATGGTCCTACCCTGTCAAAGGTATGATAAGAGTGGTCTCCACAAATCGAGAATTCTTCAAAATAATTTTCACAAGTTAACTTCAATGAACCTCGTTCGAAACAGGCCCCTTTACTGGAGGCTCCTTCATTGGATGGACTGGCATAAAACTCAAAATGAGATTGGCCGTACTCTAACGAACAACTAGAATGGTGATGTCCATAACTACATTACTGAACATCATCGACTCGCGAACTGCGCAGGTTTTCTAACAGGAAGAAGACTCCTCCTGACGGATTTGAACAATTAGACACCATCCAAATGACATGTTAACGATAATAGCAAAGCAAGCGGCCGAACAAAACAAACTAAGTTCATCGACCGATCGAAACTGACCAATCGCAACTGACTAACACAGCTTGAGTCTTAGATGTGATAACGTGACAGCAAAACTAACCAATCACATTTCACGGACAAGGGATTTTGTACTCGACTGACAAAGAACTCTTCGTGTGATTCTGATATTGACTATCATTCACGTTTTCGAAACGTCAGTCACAACTACTGACAACAGTCCATTTCAGGAACAACCCACCCAGATGATCAAACCACACGAGAAACAGAAAGCACTTTTATCCATTTTTTCATGAAGATCCCCATTTCGAATTCTTCAGAAAATCCTATCGTGCCAACAAAAATATGAGGGAACCTTCACATGAAACTAACCATGTTTCCTTTTTTATTTGCCCCTAGGCTTTTGGTTTGGAGTGCCGCTTCAGAGATAAAATCTGCGAACACGGATGGAACTAACGTACAGACTCTTGTCAACTCTCCCACCAAACCAAGAACTTCAATGACATTTGATTACTCACAAGAGAGACTGTTCTGGGTTGACACGTCCTCCGTGTAAGTAACTTTTCTGTACAAACGAGAAAGGTGGTTAGTATCAGCTCGTATGGTATCTTATAACCCGTACAGCCCCGTGCGCGCTTACTTTTGCAAAGCATTATCCTCTTACGAGGGCCGTACGCAACGGCGTGAGTAGGCCGGAGAATGGACCGAGGAAGGTCGGGCCCGACTGTACGTAGGCGTCGCGAAATCTGTGCGTCATGACCAAGAGTCAAATATTTTCCCGCCTGGCCCGGCCTAACTCAGTCAATAAGTGCTTATAAGCCCAGATAATACAAATCAATCGGACAGAAAACTTGTAGAAGTGAGGGGAAAAAATGAACTTAGTCAAAAAGTGTGTCCATTAGTGAAAAGGCATTTTATCTTCGTAGCATAACATTTCAGCAGATCAAAATGAATCCATCGAGTCAACAAATTTTGGTGAACTTTGTGAAAAACTGTTTAAAAAGAGTGAAAAAAACTTTGTAACTAATCAGAAAGAAAGGGCAGCTTCTGAACGACTGAAAAAAGGTCAGAGTGGACTCTCATGGCCAGCCTGAAGCGCGTAAAAAAGCTAAGACTGAGCTACCCTTGCTTTCAGTTCTGTATCTGAAAAGATATCGCTAATTTCTGTTTTGTTTTTGTTTTGTTTTGTTTTGTTTTGTTTTGTTTTGTTTTGTTTTGTTTTGTTCCTGTTCCTGTTCCTGTTCCTGTTTCTGTTTCGGTTTTGTTTTTGTTTTTGTTTTTGTTTATTCTTTTCTTGCTTTGTTTTACCTTTTAATCAACCCTCGGAAATTTTTTTAAGGGAAACCAATTCAATCATGAATTACTTTGGGCGCTCAATTGAAAAATGCTTTTAGAAGATGATTAATATTTTTCCTTTCGTTTTTCAATCTAACCGCTGCTGTTTAATTCACTGTCTCTTCATTTGCAGTGTGAACAGTGTGTTTCTGAATGGAACGAGTCGTCGTCGGGAATTTCCTTTATCTCCACATGCCTTGTTCTTGGGTGTCCATGGAGAATTCTTGTATTGGGTTGACGAAATGAGATCTTTGAAGCGCGCTGACAAGTATACCGCGGGAGAGTCTTTTGTTTTAGCTACATTGAGCTTTTCGCCGACGGGGATGCTATTGTTTGCTAAAGAGCGGCAGAATTGTAAGTGTTTGGATTGGAGTCTTGATTTGTCTTCATAACGGTAGCCATGCGATGGAATGCTAAATAGAGTGACCTGACGAATCCTGCATTTCCCACTATAATATACAATATTAGTATATACTAAAACAGTGGATAGGGTTGAAGGCGCGCTCTGAATGGCTACTCAAATTCCGAATATCCTTTCGTATTCACCTCCGAGCAACTCGCCCGCAATCGCAATCACAGGATTATTAAAAGCGAGTTAAAATCGTCTTTTTGTGCTATACCATCTCACTGTTTCGGTATATACTAAAACAACTATTCGCCCCAGCGTCGTTACTTCGGAATGCGTACTTACCGCGCCGCTTCGCGACTCGGTAAATATCAAGCACGAGCCACCTCCACTTCGGTGAATAGTTGTTGATTGTTGTGATTCAACCCATTTTATTATCGCTTTAAATCGAGGCTGTGTCATTTCATGTTTGTTTTAGGCATGACTGGAGAGATTTAGCATCGTGTTCACATGAAACGGTAATCATAAGCGTGCCTTTTCACGTTTCACGTTTTTCACGTTTCACGTAAAATAGCTTAAACCTGGCTGCTTTGGCTTCGCGTGAGCCCGTGTCATGGTGGATTCGAAGGCACCCTTGCGTGACTTACAAGGAATAGTTTTGGTGCCCTTTTTCCGTTAATCAACTTATACACTGTGAGGGAAAATGAAAAGAAAATCTTACTTTCACGGCAAACGCGAAACAGTTACCTTCACGTAGAAACGGCAAAGCGCAAACGGCAAACGTGAAAAAATGGCGGGAAAAACAAGGTCGCGTGGTCACTTGTGGCGTTCACGTTTCACGTAAACGCGGTGCTAAATCTCTCAACTAAGTCACGCCTGTGTCACGTCATTTTAAAACTGTTCAGATCTTGTTATTGTATAGCTATTGCTCCTGTTATTTTAATTTTTCTGGTGACGCTTGTGTAACGTCAGTATCAATAGGAGTCAGTTCACCCTATTGTGTCATTATTTCGAATAGCGCTTGGGTCACGCTTGCGTCACGCTTGCGTCACATCATAGTTAATAGTAGCAAGGTCACCCCATCATGACTTGTTTTGTTTAAGTGGTTACTTGGTCACGCTTACGGTGGAACGTCTTGATCGGATTCTTGTCAAACTGTATAATTTCAACCTAATAAGTGGAGAGGAAGGCCACTTTTGGAAGTTGCAGTGTCTCCCGACGGTTTTGCAAATGGTTGTAACTCGTTGCTACTGATTTTGTGCCAAAGGCACTGTCAACCCGTGTTTAAATGGTGGAGGCTGTTCGCATACCTGCACCGTTGAAAAGGGACAGCGTGTTTGTTCCTGCCCTGAAGGACTAATACTGAAAGAAGGATTCCAGTGTGTTAACATATCAGTCGTGTGTAGAGGGAGACATTTTGCTTGTTCAAATGGAAAGTGTCTGCTTGACTCATTGGTCTGCAACATGAAGGATGACTGTGGTGATGGCTCCGATGAGCTTTCTGTGTTGTGCGGTATGAACGTTTTCAATATCAGAGCAACTGCGCACCCACCCCTCCCCTAACTAGCAACAATCAACTGATAACTAGTCAGGGTTAATGTTGGGTCATGGGAGGGGTAGGTGCCCAGTCGGTCTTTAAATGTTACCGCCAAAAACACTCTTGCGCCCATTCCTTTTTACTCTCCGCGCGTGATATTTCGCATAGTTTGTCTCTCTTTGTTCGTCTTGTTATTCGTCTCGTCTTTAGACTAGAGAAACAACACGAGACACACGTTATTCGTCTTGCACATAATGTGTCCTCTAGTATAAAAACAGCCATTAATGGATGACTCGAAGAAGCGAATGAAGGAGCGAGTGAGCGTGCGGTCGAAGTTGTCCCATAAACCTTAAATATCTTATTTTACCTTGGTACCAATTAAGAAAGTTTGTTTTCCTCTAGCTCAGAGACAGTGCAGGTCAAACGAATTCAGGTGCACAAGTGGACAGTGTGTTCTTTCCGCTTGGAAATGTGACTTTGAACGTGATTGTACCGACGGCAGCGACGAGAAAAACTGCCCTAAAAAGGAATGCGCCACGCATAGGTTTACATGTGCAAACGGCCACTGTATAAACTTTGATTGGAAATGCGACGGTGACAACGATTGTGGAGATTTCTCGGATGAAACCGGCTGCCCTCCTGTTACATGTCCACCGGGAAAGGCCAAATGCGGGAACGCCAATGTGTGTATAGACTCGTCTTGGCTGTGTGACGGGGATTATGATTGTGAAAATCATTGGGATGAGAGTGAAGTGGTCTGCAACAACAAAACCTGTGGAGTGGGTAGTTTCCGTTGAACCTCAGGCCATTGTATCTCCAAACGGTGGCAGTGCGATGGCGAAGATGACTGCGGTGATGGAAGCGATGAAGGACTGTGTAAGAAGAACAATCAGACTTGTCAAAGTCAGCAGTTTACATGCCGTAATGGTAAGTTCCTTGATGTGGAGAAAAACGTTTCCCTCTTGAAGAGGCGTTCACCTCTGTCCAATGCACATGTTTCTTTAGTTTTCCAAACACGTTAGCCTGCAGAGCAGGCGTAATTTGGCGGAGCGAGTTCTCAGTGTATTCTTAAGCTGGGGAGAGAAAGAAATTTGTACTAAGGGGGTGAGTGACGGTCAAAAATAGAGAGAGGGGCTGGGGTGGTTCAAACGCGTTGGCTCAGTGGTTAGTTCAAGGCCAGCCACTCATCCGGGTCATGGGTAAGGAACTGAACTCTGGCAGTGTTTCTCTCTACATAGGGGTATGAAAGGGTACCGAATATCGACCAAATTCTGCGTTGGGAGAGGAGTAGCGATACTTGGGTATATGTTGTAAAAGCGCGATAAGCTCGAAGCCCTACTCTTTCACAGGGTAGATAACGCTATCCAAACGATAAATCTCTGCTCGGCGTTTAGCGCAGCACGTTTTGTTGAGAGTTTTCCGCGAAAACAAGATTTATCCGTTTGGCTATCGTTGTCCGCCCTTTATAAAACTGAACCCAGGCTGGTAGGTAGGTTCTAAAGACTTGGCCCTTAACCCGAGAAGGGAAGAAAACAGGAAACAAAATGAATCCTTCAGTTGATGCGCAGCATTCGATTCTAGGTCGTTGTGTCACCATGAAATTTGTGTGCGATGGGGAAGATGATTGTGAAGACGGCTCAGATGAATCCACTGACGACTTGCACTGTGATGATCATACTTGTGACCCGACTGAGTTCAAGTGTGAGAACACCTCCAGATGTGTGATGATGTCATACGTTTGTGATGGCGATAACGACTGTGGCGATGCGTCTGATGAACATCCAAACGAGGGTTGTGTCCCAAGGAATTGTAAGCCAAGTCAGTTCAGGTAACAACTGTCTGCCAACCGCAGTGCAGACATCGCGTTTATGACGGGTGCATCCCTATCTCATGGATGCTGATCTGTCTACGCGTGGAAACTATTGTTTAAAGATTCCATTGCAAATAACGAAAATTTTTCGACCCCTTAAAAAAACTCGAAACTCCGCTGTTTGCTGAAAGTTGTCTACCCTTGACTTTCTCCTCAGTGAAAATACATAATCTCTTATCAATAAAGATTTTGTCATACAAAAACACGTAAAAAGTAGCGATATAAAACGACGTTTCGGTGTCATTATAACGCCATTGTTAGCGTAAGTGTTTGGATAACGAAATCTGAGAGTGTCGATTACTGCAATAAATTTACATGATAAAGAATGCGAGGTCCGAGAGAATACGCAATTTTTAGATACATTACCTACAGACTATTGATGTTTGGAGAGAAACTTGTAAGACAGAGAGTGTTGTGTTGACATAAAGGCACTTTGTTTTAAATTATTGATAGTGAAATATAGAATCGGGAAGCGAGAGGTAGAGCTTGGATGGTCAAGGGTAATAGGTATAGCCGTGTTACATGAGGTTTAAACCTTTTTGCCTCCCCCACAGATGTAAAAACGCTGTATGTGTACAGAAAGCCTGGTTATGCGATGGCGAGAATGACTGTGGTGACAATTCAGACGAAGAAAACTGCCAAAATCACACATGCAATGAGAAACAGTTCACTTGTAAGAATGGATATTGCGTCTCTAGTAGCTACGTTTGCGATGGGGATCGTGACTGCTCGGATAACTCCGACGAAGACCCAAGGCTCTGTCGAACGACCGTGGCACGTTCGTGACCTGCTGGATCGTTTAACTGCGGCGAAGGAGCTTGTATTTTGAGGGCTAAAGTCTGCGACGGTCACGAGGATTGTAAGAATGGAGCTGACGAATGGAGGTGTAAAGTAGGCGCGTGTCGTCGGCCGGAGCTGAACCGATGTTCGCAGATCTGTAACAGTACGTCCACTGGCTATACTTGTGATTGCAGACCTGGTTTTAAGCTTCAGTCAGATGGATCATCTTGCGAAGATATCAACGAATGTAACAAATACGAGCTTAACCAGTGTAATCACTTCTGTGTTAATCTTAAAGGCCACTACAAATGTGCTTGCGCCCGAGGGTATTCACTGCACGGGTTGAGAACTTGTAAACGCGACGATATCGCGGTTAAACCGTACCTGGCGTTTTTACTGCGTCATGAGATTCGCAAACTTGCTGACGAAGGTTCCTGGGAGGGCGAGATTTTACGCAAAGTTCAAAACGCAGTTGCCATCGATTTTGATTGGTTGGAACAGCGGATTTATTGGACGGAAGGTCAGGCACCGCCGCGTCTGAATCGCGCGTTCTTGAATGGCACTGGCGCAGAAGTTGTCCTAGCAGTTGGATTGTCGAACGTGGAAGGATTAGCAGTGGACTGGGTCGGCAGAAATGTGTACCTCATGGATCGAATCCAGGACAAGATATTTGTGGCGACGCTGGAAGGGCGTTACATGAAGTCCCTCGTGTCAGAGGGACTGCAGGAGCCAAGGGCAGTCGTGGTTGATCCTAGTGACGGTATGTTCTCACTAAATGCCAGCCAAAATTATCAACAGACCTAACATAAGTTTGCCTAAGCTCCATGCTGTTTTAAACCGTAGGTAGCAAAACAGCTTCGAAACTTGTCTATCTTTGGTTTGAATGGAGAGTTAATTTCCATTTAAAGGTAACCTTTTATCTTCTCTGATTTCACTTCAACAGGCTACTTGTATTACAGTGACTGGGGGAAGAAACCGCATATCGGTAAATGTGGAATGGACGGCTCTGGCTGTCGGCGGCTGGTCACCAGCAAATTTATTGGTTGGCCCAACGGACTGACCCTCTGTCATATCACCAGGAGATTATTTTGGGTGGATGCCAAGTTGGACATGGTCGAGTCTTGTGATCGAGACGGTGGAAATCGTGTGCAGCTGTCTCGTTTGTACGCCCCGCATCCGTTTTCTATCAGCGTGTTTGAGGATTTTGTTTACTGGACTGATTGGATGACTATGGCCATTCATCGTGCGCATCGGCTGACGGGATTGCAGCACCCTGTACTGTTGAATTCATCTCACAGGCTTATGGGTTTGAAAGTAAGTGTGGTTGTTTGATAGATATTGAAAATATACTGTTCAGGCATGCCTTTAGAATCTCAGTGATACAAACGAAATTTTGACAAAAATCGAGTTTTGTCCGATGCGGTGGAAAGTGTCTGTTTCATTGCTGTAGTTAAAGCAATAGACCACTTTCATAAATGGCTGCCGGATTAATATTCTTTTGTTTAAATTTAAATTTGCCCTAGTGGTCTCGTTTGAGATAATGTATTCTTTTGAATTTTGTACTGGAGAACGAGGCCACCCAGGCAAATTTATATGTAAACAAAAGAATTTTAATCCGGCAGCCATTTATGAAAGTGGTCTATAGACCACTCTTTCTATCGATTTTACAGCGTTGTAACCCGCTTGGGATGTTGAGAGAACAAGAGAAAAATTTTCTAACCACAACCCGGATGCGAGTGATGAACAAACCTTTTTTTTTTTTTTTAATTTGAATGCGCGTAAAATGACTTCAGAAACGAGAAATTGATGTATCCCCACTGTTTCAGGTGATTCATCCCGTTCGGCAGCCTCCTCTTGCCAATCCTTGTACAAACACATCTTGCTCTGGCCTGTGTCTGTTGAAGCCGGGAGGAGGGTACAGCTGCGCATGTCCGGATAACTATCATTTGGCAAATGATGGTAAAACATGTTTGGACAATTGCACCAACAGTGACTTCATTTGTGCAAACAACATGTGCATTCCACGGTTATGGCGTTGTGACGGAGATGATGACTGTGGTGATAACTCTGATGAGCCCCCCTCCTGCCCACCGAGACATTGCTCACCAGGTAACGCTAAGATTAGTGCTTCAACCGGGGGAGGGGTGGAGGTGACTGTTGACTTATATCTTAAACTTCGGAGGATAGAGAACAGGGGAATGGGTGGGAGACTAACGGCGATCTTAGCTGGCAACCAAGTTTCTGTCGACCAGTTTCTTCCATACAATTGAACTCTTTCTGTCTAATCCTAAGCTTTCTTCGTATTTGTCCTAGGGATGTTTCAATGTGATAACGCGACCTGTGTTTCAGTCATTGCCCTCTGCGATGGTCACAAGGATTGCCTAAACGGTGCTGATGAAGAATCATGTGCAGTACGACAGTGTCTCCCTTTCCAGTTTAGATGCGCAAACAATAAATGTGTATTCCTAACACAAGTTTGTGACAATCACAATGACTGCGGTGATAATTCTGACGAGGCGCACTGCAAATCAACCACTTGTGCTGGCGACCGCCATACCTGTCCCAGCGGTCGCTGTATTAGCCGCCAGTGGCTCTGTGATGGTGACAATGATTGTGGCGACGAAAGTGATGAGTCTCAAGAGATTTGCTACAATCATACTTGAGATCCTTTGTCACGTTTTCAGTGTAACGCGTCTCGTAAATGTATCCCGAAGCTGTGGACTTGTGACGGAGATGCCGATTGCAGCGATGGTTCGGACGAATCCATAGATGTTTGTGAGGGTACATACTTCTCGTAAATAATTCTGGTTTACAAGCTCTTCTTTCTCAATATTTATAAGTAAGGGTCCGCGAAACGATAAGTTCATTTGTGGGAGGTACTTACTCCTCGTACATTTTTCTGGTTAATAAGCTCTGCTTTCTCAATACTTTCAGTTTTCAGTTAGGGGTCCGCGGAATTATAAGTTCATTTTTGTGCATAAATCTTGAACTCTTTTAAAAGGATCCTGTTCTCTGTATCATATCATGTGCTTCTTAGGACACCATTGATAACTGAACTTTTTCATCGTGGTATCAAATACCTAACAGGTCCGTTGAGTTTTGCTCTAGGTTATCTTTTTGATTAATTGTATCAGCCTTGAACTCTTAATGTAAGGATCTTTTTCTATTTCTTCCCCAGCCCTCTTCCCTCACCTTTTTTGACTATTGCCCACCTCCTTGGTACAAATTTATTTCTCTTCCCCGCCTTCCACTGGTAAAAAATCAAAACTGGCACCTACAATTTTCATCAAGAAAATGCCGAGCACTCGCTTGCCAAAATCACGCCTTCTCTGCAGGCTGATATTGTGTAAAATAACATGTGCTAGTTGATAAGCTTTTCGTTGTTTTTACTCCCATCAATCTCTGTCTCTTTCGCGAGGAACTAAGTTTTTGTCTTATACTGTGTTACTAAGGACATTACTGCGAGGCTGGCTCTTTCCAGTGCCGCAATAAACACTGTATTTCCTATGACTGGAGATGTGATGGTGAAAAGGACTGCAACGACGGAGCTGATGAAGAAAACTGCCCCACGCGTACTTGTTCAAACACGGAGTTCAGGTAACCGTTAACTGATAGTACTCAACGCGTCGTTGCTGAGTTCGTTTGATATTTTTCCTCTGCTATGATGCGCAACGAGTCCATAGTTTCTTTCTCCTGATTCAGGTGTAACTCCGGGCGTTGCATCAACAATGACTGGGTCTGTGATGGTGATGATGACTGTAACGATGCGTCAGACGAGCGTGACTGTTCTGGAAGATCGTGCCGAGGCGGCCAACTCTCCTGTAGCAATGGTGATTGTATTATGAAAGAGTGGAAGTGTGATGGTCAGAGGGACTGCGATGATGCATCAGATGAACGGGGTAACGTGTCGTCAAGCGTGCTTATTGTAGCTGCCGGGTCGTGACTATGATGTCACAAGGAGGATTGCTTTTCTTTGGGGATGGCCTTCTGATCAATCGCGCTACTTGCCCCAGTATTCCGTTTTACTGACAGTCTAATTTTATCCATTTGTACTCCTGAGTGGGAGGCGCGGTGGCCTCATGGTTTGTGTGCTCGACTCCGGATCGAGTGGTCTGGGTTCGAGCCCTGGCCGGGGACATTGTGTTGTGTTCTTGGGCAAGACACCTTACTCTCTCAGTACCTGTCTTTATCCAGTTGTTTAAATGGGTACAGGCGGATTTAATGCTGGGGGGTTGCCATGTGGTGCACTAGCATCTCATCGATGGGGGAGAAGAAATACTCCTAGTCGCTTCATGCTACAGAAACCGGACTTAAGCGCCGGTCTGATTAGATACATGACTCGTAAACAAACTTTACCTTATACTACTGGGCAGCAAAAACCACTGTGAGAGTTAATGTGTAATCTCGCGAAAACAGCACACTGAACGTGATCCATGGTTCGTACAATCTTGAAAAGGTCTTGAATTTTAACGGTCGTCTTGAAAAGTCCTCGAATTTGGTTAAGTCCTTGAAAAGTACTTGATTTCTTTAGTAGGTCATGAAAAGTCCTTGAAATTTAGCAACTTCTGTGCGCCTTATCGCTTTTCTGATAAATTAAACGATTTTGCTATGGAAAATTTGTCCACTAGTAACTACCAAAAAGCGAAAATGGTAGGTATAAAACGTGAGTGGTACATGAAGCAAAGTTGGATCTGTGCCTCAATTTCATGCGCAAGACCTCCGATGTGGGGTAGTCCGCCATATGCTTTTGTTTTAAGGGGCAACGTAAACATGTAGTGGTTTGGCTACGTTTTGGTCAATGAATTTTTCATTTCCCTTTGTTTTCAATTTAATTGAGCGATGGGCAAATGTGTATTCAATCGTAAATGGTTTAGATTTAGTCCTTGAAAACCGTAAATGGTTTAGACTTAGTCCTTGAAAACCATTTTTTGTCCTTGAAAAGTCCTTGAAAAGTCCTTGAATTTTGTTTGTCTAAGTTGTACGAACCATAGTTGTCTCATGTAAATTGTACAGGCCATCACTTTGTGAAATGGGATCATAATTTCAAATTGGCCACGCTTTGAAGACTTCTAGTTCTAAAATGTATTTATAAGAAACGCTACACGTAAACACTAATTGAAATGTTTAACCTAAGGATATTCATTATATTTCCTGTACAGGTTGCCCAGCGCGTTACCCAGGTGGTCGACATTGCCCTATGCAAACGTTTACCTGTGATAACATGGTATGCGTGCACAAGACGTGGGTTTGTGACGGCGAGGATGACTGTGGAGATGGGAGTGACGAGGCAGAGCAGCTCTGTCGTAAGTGTTGGTTGTTTGTAGACAATTTGCCTCTGTGTATTTGAACAATAACTTCCGCGTGGTGCAAATATGTGCTCAGGTATGGGTCCTTGAACATTAACAACTATTGCCGTGGCCGCCATCTCCACCACCACTGCTATTGCTATTTCCACTGCTATTATTACCATTACCATTGCTTTTTCCTCTGCTATCGCCTTTTCCTTTGGCAGTGCCTTTGTCACTTTTTTGCCACTACTATTGCTAGTACCATCATCATAACCCTTGCCCTTGCCCTTATCCTTGTCATTTCCCATTGCTAATGCAATCGCCATTGCCAAAGCTATTATCATTGCCATCACCGTAATTGCCATTGCCACTGCTGTTATCACTGCCCTCGCCATAATCATTGACATTATCATTACAGAGCTATTGCAAATACCATTATTATTACCATCGGTATTACTCGTACTATTGTTGTATTCGTTACCGTTATCATTACCATTGCCACTGTCATTTCCATCACTATCACTCTTACCACTGTTATAGCCATTGCCACTGCCATTACCAAAGCCTACGCAATTTCCATCCATTGTCATTATTTTTATTACGTTAAATTAAGAATTATTTCTCCACGTTGCCTTACAGTTGCTCACAGTTGTCTGCACACACAGTTTCGCTGCGAAAACAACGTCTGCATTTCTAAATGGCAAGTTTGTGATGGCCTGACTCAGTGTCGTGACGGATCTGATGAACGATCGTGCACAGCGGTCACGGTTGGGTGTAACTCCACCCAGTTCAAATGCGCTAACCGGAAGTGTATTCCTAATGGATTTGTGTGTGATAGTAAAGATGACTGTGGTGATGCGTCGGACGAGAAATATTGTGGTAAGTATGGTTCAGCGTTCATATGGCGGGCACGCCCAAGGGGATTACTAGTGGCCGGCAGCGCGCCAATTTGCCGTGAAAAAGTTCGAGGGACAACTAAAGAAAAAACCGCTGTTACGCAAAATATACAGTGCAAAATGTGGCGTTAATATGAATCGGTTAATGAAACCAAAAGTAGGTTAACAGAGAACTCGAAACTTTTCGATCACAAAGCTTATTTGATTACGGGTTTTCCTCTGGTTTATCATTTTGTTTTGAGCGTATTCAAGAATGTTGTGCGGTTTTCAAACGCGTTGTTTTAATGGCTTGTTTGGTTGTATTTAGCTTTTGTAAGATCACTTGCACTTGGGGAGACTTTGACCGCTAAGTTTGTAACGTTGATTTTAAGTTTCTTGGATGTGAATACGTCGTTTACCGAGAGGACCTCAACTTCTCGGGGTCAAGCATTTTTCATGTATTCTTGTTCCCTTGGGGTAACCCAGCTTTCTGAGCCACTCATTGACACAGCCTTTATCGGCATCCTTCATCTCCAGGTGGAAGACACAAATCGTGTGGGGACACCAACGGCGGCTGTGAACAGAATTGTACCTTGGTTGATGGAGGGGTGGTGTGTTTCTGCTGGCACGGTTTTGAACTGTCCATGGACACAAGGAAGTGTGTGGATATGGACGAGTGTCAGACATTCGGCGCTTGCAGCCAACAGTGTTTGAACACGCGAGGAAGTTACAAGTGTCAGTGCGATCAGGGCTATGTCAGTGATGGTGTGGACGGAAAGGAATGTAAAGCTACAGGTGAGTTAGTTCATATGTAGACTGTGTTTAATTTTTGGATAAAGAACGGAAGTTTGAAACCTATCTTCTGTTGATACTTGCAAGAGGTATAGGAATAAAGGATAAGGTTTTTCAAGCAATGGACAGGATTTTTTTTTTTTTTTTGACAAGCTCCTAGTAAAGCTTAGTTACGGGGTGGCATTTTTGTAAGGTAACTTACTTTCGCTTTAAGTACCTGGATCGGCGCGATCGAAAAAATGTTCGATTTAACTTTCGTTTAACTTTCGCAAGAATGCCAGGTTGAATTATTACATCATGTTATCGAGTTTCTTATCATGGAGAGGATCACATGAATCGCCTTCCTGGTCACTTCCATTTTTCAATGTAAGGTTCAACGGCACAATCTCCTCCTTATCTTGCAGGGAAACCTCCGTCTCTTCTTTTCCCATCTGGTGGAGATATCCGGCATATGGGGCTTGAAGACACTAACATGCGTCCTTACGGAACAATAGCTTTCAGCCAGGGTTCCGTAGGAGCTATGGCTGTGTGGTGGAAGGAACGGCTGGTGTATTGGACCGACTTGAGAAAGGGCACAATCAAACGGGCTAGAGTACCAGGTGCTCCATCTTTTCTAAGCTTATTGCAAGTAATGACGTTTAGCTCACAGCCCGGTGCGGTTTTCAGTTGGTCTTGACAAACCTAATTGCCTTTGAAAACGGATTTTATAGCGGAGCTCGTGCTTCCAAAGTTTTCAAGCAGAGCCCCTTCTCCAAGGATAACATATTCCTTAAGGCGCAGAAAATTAGTTGTCGAGCGATGAAAACGTCCATGTTTCCACACGCAACCACCACGACATTCTAAAATGCGGGAAATTCAAGCAAAATGAAGAGATGTAAAAAATCAAACAACAGGAGTTTTTCTTTTCGCTCAAGCAAGATTCTTATACTGTTTATTATCGTGGGAGCCTTTTTTTGTAATAATTCCTTCTGGTTTTTCTTTTTTTTTATTATTATTTATTTTTTTCCTTTCATGCGGGGAAGAATTAAATCATCGAACAGCCCGCGCCGTCCCGCGTAAAACAAAGCAGGAAATACAGGATCTTTACGTTCCAGTGGGAAGGGCGGAAGGTTTAGCCGTGGACTGGTTAAGTGGGAATATCTATTGGACTGACACTAAAAAACGCGTCATAGAAGTGGCATCAAAGGATGGTTACTACAGATACACTTTGTTCTCAGGACGCATGAACATGCCACATGCCCTTGTTCTTGATCCGCCTGCTGGGTTAGTATCAGTCGTGTTTTGTTAACACGGCTAGGAATTTGCATGTCAATCGAGTTTTGTTATGGTATCGCTGTGAAAGTTGCATGTTGGTCGCAAATATACCATGACATTGACAGGAAATGATTACGTTCTATTGTAGGGAAACGAGTCGAAATTTTGGGGGCGACCTGGTTAAAGTTGGGGTTGAACTTGCAATGGAACGAACTCACTATAAACTAGAAATCCAGTGTCTGGAGTAATTCGAAGTAATGTGTAGAAACTGGTCAAAATAACTTGCTCGTTAGAGGCGAATTCGCAAAGGTAGGAGGGGCGAACTTGCAGTGGGGCGAATTCACCATAAACCATAGACACATGTACATTACTTGTAGTCCGATGTCTGGAGTAAACTGAAGTAATTGGAAGTAACTGGTCAAAATATCTAGTACTAATGTTTTTTACCGTTGTGTTTTAAGGGCGGGTTGAATTGCTCTAGCTGTCTCAAGCCCTTCAACTGTTATTTTTTAATTGTAGGCGGATGTATTGGTCCGAATTGGGTTATAAGCCAGCCATTTACACAGCGCTCATGGAAGGAGGGAATCGCATAGTTCTTGTACAAGACAGAATCAAATGGCCAGTCGGGTTGGCCCTTGACGTTCCTGCAAAACGAATCTACTGGTGTGACTCAAAAACAAGGCGTGTTGAATCTGTTAACTTAGACGGACTTGACAGGAAACTTGTGAGAAGGTTTACAAGCAGTGATATACCCGTCACGATTGCGTTACACGAGAATTTTGTATACGTCACGGTGCAAGCCGGTAAACTGTACAAGTTGAACAAGTTTGGCCAAGGTCCGCTGACAGTTTTGGTGCACGGGCTCAAGCGTCCAGTTGGATTGGTGGTGTTGCAAAAACAGCAACAACATGTACCAAGAGGTTGGCAAATTTTCGTTGCTTAAGTTCTTAATTGATTCTTTTAAGTATACTCTTTGCTGTCATTAAGTACACGTTACTAAACAATGGACGTCGCGTGGGCTAACGACAAAAAAGGAAAAGATGATGGTGAAAAGAAAGCTTCTGGTGGAATCTTTTGGGATCGTGTGACTTAAGAATGTTCTCCGTTTGAGTCGGAATTGTTTCGGTACGTTTCCTGTCCTTTTGTAGTTCATGCAATGCAATATTTAAATTTTGTTTTTGAAATATTAAGTTAACAAATGGTAAACACCACAGCGTACACTATTGAGTTAGGGATGTACGCGGAAGGTTGCTTAGCACGAAAGAAGCGTATCGCCTCGAGTGACTTTAGCTTCTTGAGTACTTTGCAAACCTCCCAACTGCATCCATAACTCAACAGTGTACGCTGTGGTGTTTACCATTTGTTTTATAGCAACCCCCCAAAAAAAAAAATTTCTCGCGAAACATTTGCTTACTTGGAAACATTTGCTCACGTCGGCAGCGTACACCCATGGGCAATTAGTAAACACTGAATTGATCAATCAGAGCGCGCGCTTTACGTGATTCATGATATGGCGTGCTTTGGATTTAGTTTCATAGATCCAAAGCCAAATTAATTACATCAGCCTTTCTAATTACTAAATGATTTTATTCGTAGACTTCGTTAACAACTGTGCAGTCGGAAAGAACAAGTGCTCTCACCTTTGCCTGTCCAGTCGTCAGAAACCTGTTTGCGTGTGCCCCACAGGGGACCCAGGAAAATCTGGTGATTGTCAGACAGGTATGCGTCTGTTGTTGTTTCCCATTGCACATTTTTCTCACATCGGTCCAATTTGTCCAACAACGTGAATGCCAAAGTCCAACACCTGCAGTTAAGTACCTTTTATTTTAACGAGAAGTTTTAACAAACTACCTCGAGTATTTCCTCGTTATCTCTTTATGCTGAAGTTGAGGTCTGGCGCTTCATGAGACAGTTAACATATTCAGCTTTTCTCGAAATTCTTCAAAAATATGAAAATTCATCTTTTAATCCATGTTTCCCTCGACGTTGTAGTTTGAAATCCCTCATACGCATTATCCTTTCTGCATTTCCTCCCTATCTCTGTTCTTTTACATCTTCTTTCTCCTTTTTACTGAAGTAGGCATTTCTTACCTCTCTTTGTAGGAATTAAACCACCCCGTCCTCCCCCAGTCTGTTGGCTCGGATTGTGTGGAAAAGGAACTTGTGTTAATATAAGGAATAATGCCACTTGCCAGTGAGTTTTCATTACAGCTGCTGAACCTTCTCTATCTCTACAGCTGCTTGAGTCTCTATTCTGCGACCTAAATCACAGAAGAGGTCTCCAGATATAAAATATTTTTGGCCGCTAGGAAAAAACTCGTCGTAAAATGGTGACTATCAACGTGGCTACCACAATTTTTCCTGCCAAAACGATGCACTCGTCAACTTCTCTCGGGAAAAAATTGAGAAGGACATTTTCTGTAATATTACATGGCAATTTTTTGCAACTGTTCATCGGTCTTAACATTAGACTATAAGCATCAAGAATTAATACCGCTGAAAAGACTGTCGCACAGAAGTCGACAGATTAGAGACTTCGGAGCAAATTTAGACGGAAATATTTTTTTCTTCTCTATTTCAACTCTCTATGTTTTTTATTATTTTTTGCATTTCCGCCTGTTTGTTTACCTTCTCTTCTCCAGATGTCCAACCGGCTCGACTGGATCACGCTGCGAGATAAGTTTAACACCCACCATGGCCCCACAGTTATGTACACTGAAGTGTCTTAACGGAGGGATTTGCGTCATTGACGAAGGGAAACCAATATGCAAGTACGTTGTGTGTTTTAAAAATATTTTCCTTTTTGTTTCGTTATCTAGATAAGAGGCGTTGACGTTGTCGAACTGACACTTGCGCACGTGCATTAGCATAGCGTTACTTTTCGCTTGTTGCATGATAACCAAGAGCCCTTCAACGCCAGCCTTTATCTCTACACTGATTCCTTTGGTCAACTCCTCATTAAGTAGATCTACTTTTTAGAGCGGCATTTTCTCGTGAAAAGTGTCTTATTTCTGTTGAATCAACCGAGAATCGCAGCAACCAATTTTGCAGCGCAATACATTTGAGCGGACGTTTGAAGTAAAACAAGATAGTCATAGCCCCTTTTTTGATTTGGTCTTAGAACTAAAAAATTCCCATGGGAGCCTTTCTATTTATAGATCTACTTGGGAAAGGGTTGACCCTAAAGCCAAGCATGGGGTATAGAGGGTTGTATTGATAGGCTCTTGTTATAACTGTATTTTAACGTTACTGTCGTGAATTCTCTCATTATATCCAGAATGAGTGCAAAAGCAGGTCCTAGTTATTTTATTTTTAAAGTATTCCAAGTATTTCAAGTTTGTGGCAACCATAGTGAATTCCACTTAAAAGTGCAGCAGCGTTGCAAGGTAGATTTGCTACGTGAAACCGCCGTATATTTGTTGAGTTAATTATTTCTCTTGCCAGATGCTTACCTCGAACAATGGGCGAGTTATGTGAGGTCACGTGTGCTCTGTTTAGCTGTAGTCACGGTGGAACCTGTATAGTAGAAGACGGGCATTTTGCTTGCAGGTAAGAACAGCTACTTGTCCAAATTTAACACGGCATCTTTTTTAAATAATAACAAGAGGATATTACATTGCCGCACGTAGATTCAAACGATGGCACATTGGAGGTTCACCCACAGGCTTTACAGATAGAACCATCTTGCTCGGATTGATAAACAGTTCCACATTGAAACACTTTCAGAATCTTTGAATCTTTCATTTCCGTGGTTGCAAAGACAAATTTTTTTCCTGAACTTGAAAGTTAGAACCTAGAGCATATTAGACAGTGCCAAGTGGCTTTTGAAAGGAGTTTTTTTTTTTTCAGAACCTCTTAGTAGTTACAAGAGTTTAGGTAATTACCTAAAATTTGGCCTAAGGTTGGTGGTTGGTTCTGTTTTCTGCAGATGCCGGGAGGGGTATCGTTACGTTGGAAACAAAATTTGCGCGGTAGACCCATGCGTTGAGGGGAATGACGACAAAAAATTGTGTGGTGATCTAGAGTGTGTTGTCAATAATAGCACCAACGAAGCGATGTGCCGGTAAGTTACGTTAATGTCGATTGTTTAGATATGAAACAAAGTTTGTTTTCACTTGATGTGCTTCAAAAGAAACTAGTAGTTTTAATTAAATTGAAGTATGGTGTTGTCGCGGTGCTCTGGTCGTATAATCGCCAATCTATTGTATCTTTTTTAAAATTTCTGTTATTTTTTAATTCTAGATGTGCGAATGGAATCTTGGCGAAATCTTGCGGGAAGCCAAAAGTACTGGGGCGAGTTGAAAATGTTGGTGAGTTGTCAATTTGTTTTTCGTTTTTGTTATTTTTTTTTTCAACGAGAATACTGAAAGTGTTTTAAACTAACAATCTAAGTTTTGTTGTGAAAAATAAACTTTGTTGTGGTTTGGTTATATCAACTAAGTTAAAATTGTAAATTGGCCACCGTAATGAGTTAAGTCAAGCTTTTTAACTCTTTACGGTGGCCAATTTTCAATTTCAACTTAGTTGATATAACCAAATCACCTTATTACCCCCACCGACGCAGCTCCAGTGTCTTTAGAAACTTTCAGCCTTTATTCATTTGTTGTGGTTTGTTACGTTTCTAAAACTCACAGAAACCATATGTTTATTCGTGTACTAGCGAACTCTCAAGGAAAGCTGATATAATCCCTGGGGATAACCTACGATAGAATAGCGTCCGAGGGGGGAAGAGANCCCCGCCCTCTTAAACCCCATACAGCCTCTTCGATTTAACATTTTCCTTATTAGGTAACCCGTGAGCACCATTTTTCCTGAAACGTTTTTTTTGCAGCGATGTTCTGACTTTTTCCTTCTTTCATATCTTCTTAACAGTGCCTGCACAGATCATTGTCCCGGTAGTGATGGTCTCTTTGGTGCTCATTGTAGTCCTTACTATCTTCTTCTGCCTTCGCCGTGGCGCGTAAGTTTAGAAATTCAGAGTTGAAAAAGACAGCACAACACGTCATAATCGTACAACTCAGTGGCCTTAAATTGGATAGTCGCACACTATTGTTATATCCCAAAGTCAACCCTTTACATCGTCCATCAGTATACATATTTTCCATACTGTTCTCTATACATTTCCTAAAGTGCTGACAAGGAGAATTTGTGTGACAATCAAGAGTTTCTTTAGTTAGTGATCATTTCATTTATTCTCGTGACCTTAAAGTTTGATTCCGGTGTGGTATTGTAAGGAAATTTTAGATACTAGTCACTCTTTAAGGGTCAAAGGGTGGAGTAGTAATGCCTAGCCAGAGTCACCTCGCACAGCGTGATAAACAGCACTGCCTGAAAGAACTGCGCAGCTTTCATTTGAATGGTAAGACACTAGGGGCCGGTTATGTACGCCAAGTCTAACTCAAACCACGGTTTTACGCATTCAGTGGGCCTCGGGCTTTCTTTGGAAGAGGGTTCATTCAGTTAAATAAATGTTCTTCCGCTGTTAGCTTTCGACCCTCTTTACACTGTTCACAAATATAAATGTTCAGATAAAAGGTTCAGCTAAATTTAGGATTGTTTAAGACGCGGTTTTGTCAAAACAACGGCTAAACTTTTCAGACCTAATGTTTCATCCTCCCAAGGGGTATACATGTGACACAGCCTATAAAGACAAAAACCGAACGAACATACAAACAAACTAACAGCTTTTGGAGTGGTCTATCAGTACAACTTATAAAATCTTCTGTCACTTAAATTTGAAGCGCAAAGAAGGCTGAATACAGCGGCATGGCTGTTCAAGTAGGGAATCCATCATTCCTGTACGAAGAAATGCTTCATGACGAGAACAGCACTAATCCTGACGTTGACGACGGACAAGATAAAGTAAGTTGATCAACATATGTAGGCTGCAGTAGAGGCGTCTCATTAAGGCGATTTCGCGTTACAAGTTCGCGATCGTTTATCTGGCCGGCCATGGTTAATTTTGACTCAGAGGGGACGGTGGGGGAAGGTAGCTGGATAGGCCAAGAATACATTGTTCCACCCCCTCTCTCTCTCTTCCCCTCCCCCTTGACCATCGTCCCCCTCCCCGTATAATTTATTTTTCTCTACTCAGCATTTCGCTGCTGTAAAAATCAAAGATGGCCGCTATAATTTTCACCAAGGAAATAGTAAACACTCGCTGGCTAAAATAACGCTAGCTCTGCAGGCTGAAAAACCGATATAGTTTGAATATTCTATCTTTGTAAAAGGAACGATCTGGAGAGTTAGTTTATCTTTAATTGATGGTTATCCGTTTTTGACCCTTGTGAAACCGTTTTATTGCTTCGTGTTTTTCTTGGAACGTTCAAGGGTTTTTTCACCGGAAAATCTCAAGAATAGAAAAAAAAGTATAGTTTCTCTGATGTTCTTTGATTAACTTAAAGAAAGAAAAACTATTGCGATCGATACAGTCCGTTACTACCCTGCAGCCGTTGTCACGCAAGTTTAGGCTTACTTCGTATTTGTAAGTTGATAATTGCGTTTGTCACGCAACATCGGCAAAAGGGTAGCTTGTCGTTAAGTTCACACAAGCGGGATGGACTATTGCCTCATGTAATTTTTCTCATTTCCTTTTAATCATTTTTTTTTTTCGTCAGGGCACAACCTTTTCCAATCCTGTGTACGAATCTGTCTACCGCTCTGAGACGAGTTTGGGTTCTGAGGTGTTCCGCGAGAAAAATTTGCCTAACGTGGAATTCCGTAGGAGTAAAGCGGACTTTTCAAATCCCGTATACGAAGCGCTGTTATCGCACAATACGTCGCGAAAGCCTGGGTCAGTATTCTGGGGAAGTGCTGAGAGTGTAAATGGGGAGGCCTCGGGCGACCTAACCGAGCCGGACTGTTGATGAAATTACAAACAAGCCACTTGATGCTTTGATAAGACCACGCCCATGAAATTGAAAAGAATATGAAAATGCAAACCATGGAAAAGAAACTGGAAATCTTATGTCAAAACAGGAAAAAGATTTTGGACTGAGAATTGCTTTCGTTTTGGTTCTGTGAATTTTTTTTCTGTTGAGTTAGGAAAAAAGTTTCCTTAATGGCCACTTCGAGATGAGAATGGCAAATCATTTTGCTTCGCATCTTCATTGAATTAATTCGAAGTTGTCAAAAATTACGTTCTTTAAGTTGGCAATTTGCACATGCTCAGTGAACGTAAAGGAAACGTTATGCTCGCGAGTACTGCTGGGATTGCTTTGATATTTTCTAATATGTAATGCAACCAAACTTTCTTAGTGCGGCAGGTACAAAAAGCAGATCACACGTCACAGGTCACAATTGTATATTATATGTTCATGTATATTATATGTTCATGTATATTATATGTTCATGTATATTATATGTTCATGTATATTATATGTTCATTTCTGACGACCGGAAGTGGAACACTATAATTCAATGCCTTTACTCTATCCGGCGTATAACTCTTTAATTGTGACCTGTGACCTGCTTTTTGTACCAGCCGTTCTTAGTGCCCAGTCTGCCTGAAGTTGTCAAAATCTGAATGAAATTGTAATATTTCAGAACAAATTACATCTCAAGTTTTAAACTCTTAGTTACACCAGCAGTTTCATCTATTAATAGAAGTGGTTTTTCAAGTATAAGGTCTGGTAAAACAATTTTTTAATCGAAATTGTTATTGTAATTTTAACGATTGTATTGTGCAATGAACAAATACTGCTTTTGTTAAATTTGTTGCTGCTTTATGCACTCTCTTCGATTCATAAGCCAGCTTTTTAAGATTTAGTTCACAAAGCCTTGACCAAGTGGTTGAGGAAAGATACCAAAGGTCAAAAATTAGTTATTACAATTTAAAGGAATCTTGGTGAATTCTTTAATTTGAATTTGCATTCACCAAGAAATATCTTTGCTCATTGTGCAAAGAGAAATTAGCGTTTATTATCAAGTTTAACCACAAGTACTAAGTTATATAATATTATCATGACATATTTAAAATTGGTGTAATTTTCCCTTGCATTTTTTTGGCAGAAAATTATAAAATATAATCTGTATTTATTGCACTCATCTTTAATGGCTTCAGTGTTTAAATTATGAAATATCCTGTATTTTTGTAGTTGTAAGACAGTATATATGAGGTGAAATGTTCACTGTGCAGGTAACTCAACAGGGCAGTGAGATATAAAACAATGTTGACTGACTTCAGTAGCCTAGCTGTTTTGTTTTGAAACCAAAGTCACCCTTGTCTTCCATTGCATACCTTGTACCTATTTATAGGCTGTGTGGATGAGAAGGACAAGCTTAAGAGATTTTTAAAAGGCATTTCAAAGCTGACATTTCAAGCACTAACCACTCATTAAAGTTCAATAATGCAAGCAGCTCAGCTGACAGCATCTCCAAGAGGAGGCTCTTTACAATAGTGTCTTAGACTGACTGTTAGGTTATTAGAGGGGATAATAAATCCTTCAATATGTAAAGAGGGGAGTCAACCCTCTCTCTCTCTCTCTCCCTTTATTGTCCTTGTCACACTCACAAATACATGTAGGTGACACAGGAATCCACTGTAAACAAGTTTTTGCGAGGACCAAGACCACAACATCCAGCTTAGCATCAGGTGAACTTCTTTTTAGTTGCAGTGAATCTGGCCATGTACTAAAAAAAAAGATGAAAATTAATCAACATCTTGGCCACTATTCTCATTCATCTAAAAGCTGTTGGTATAGGCCATAGAAGTCCCCAGGGAAATTCCCAAGACCTTTTATACACCATTGCATGTAAAATCTCTCTTCTCACAATTCCACAGCAAATTTCCCACCCTCCTTCCCTACAGTAGCACTAGCCAAGTCCTCATTCAACTCACCCTATGCCTTGTTCAAAAATTCTTTTGCTTTTAATTTCTCCATCATGAGGATTAACAGCTCACGGTAGCCTGTTACAGAATCTCAGTCATTGGAGAAGAGTGAAAGGGCAGGTGAGAAAAAAATGGGGGGGGGGGGGGGGGGGAGGGAGTCACTGCTCTCCTTGTTGCACTCCCACATTTCTTCCCTTGTGTACTCCACTTTTGGTTATCCTCACAAAGTGACTGCCTGTAAAACAACTTTTTTTTATGTTCCTGACACATAAAGATTTATACAGATCTCCACAAGGAGGATGAATGCAGTCTTGCATACATGTATGCCTCAATAATGAGGTGCCAACCTCTAAAAGAGAGTCTGGGACACATTTTTATATCAAAACAAAAGTAACCTGTAGAAATCTTAAGCAGTTTTTGGGCACTTTCAAAATAACCAAACAATGGAGGGTTTTTTTCCCTTGGGTCTTTCCTTTGATGACTACCACAGATAGAATTCATGATCGACATATGGATATGTGAAAATGCTCCAAGGCTACACTGTATCTCATCTCAAACCATGACAAAAGCAACACTTTTTTTTATCATAAACTTAGGAGGCTTGGAGAAGAATCACCCAACTTGAGTAAAGCTCCTAACCCTTCAACTCCCAAAATCTGATTGCTAATTCTGCCCTCTAGCTGCTACACATTTCCTTGTAAATTAGTTAAGAGAATTTGGTGTTAGATCAAGGTAACAACTTTTACCTGATAAGATGTAAGTTGGACTACTCTCATTTACTAGAGGGGTTAGTTTCTAAAGAAACTGTAGTGCTGTGTCGGTGGAGGAGTATAACAAGACAATTTGGTTTTATCAACTGAATTGATAATGTAACTTGGCCACAGTGAAGAGTTAAAAAGCTGACGTTGTGAGTGTTAGCCCTTCATTGTTTGGTTATCGCTCTGACAAAAAGGCTAAGGCTTAAAACATCAGTTATTAAACTCTTCAGAGTTGCCAATTTATATTATCAGTTGATAAAACCAAATTGTCTTGTTACAGTGTACACTCTCAGTTACTGTTTGCTGGATAATGTGTGGACATTCAGGGAGAACTTAATGGGAATTACAAGTATATGTAAAGGCTTCGTGCAAATCCTCAACCATATGTGATTCTTGCAACTTCACTGTTACTGAACATACCTGGTCATAGCCATCAGTCTCTCGCAACTGTTTTGTGTCAAACAAATTACCATCCACTGCAAGTAGAGAAATTTGTGACTCCTTCAGTAGTTGAGGAGTAACAGCATCTAAAGCCAAACAATTTTCTTCTAATCTAAGAACTTTGAGTCTAGGACATCTTGCTAGACTGGCTGGAAGTTTTGCCACTTGGTTGTTATTCATATTTAGTTCTACAATTTGTAAATCTCCCACCGACTCTGGAAGACTGCGGATTTTGTTATTGGACAAATCAACTACATCCAAATGCCTTGAGGTACCAAGGCCCTCTGGGAATGCTGCAAGTTGATTGGAAGCAAGTGAAAGAGTTTTAAGGTGGCTCAAGCTTGTGAAGAGTCCTGCGGGGAGGGCTTTGAGGCTGTTCTTGTTGATAATTAATACTTCTAGCTTCTTAAGCTGAGTGAGTTCTGCTGGTAGAACCCCTATGAGACAGATGAAAAGAATCTTAGTCAGAGTGGAGCTTCAAAAGTGTCTTCTGGCCACTTCTGGAGTATTTTCAGAGTGTGTTAGGGAACATCAAAAACGTCTTATGAAAATTTTGGCCATCTTTACGGAAACAAAAAGTCCTGTGTATGACTAAACATTTGGCCAAAACCTTCAGTTGTGGAAGAGAGAGCTTTTCAGACATATTTGTGTGAACTCTACAGGACACATTTTGAAGATGTTCCCAACATCTTGAGAATATTTGAAAAACCTTCAGAAATAATTGGCCTTGTTCAGATATGCTGCAATTCTCTGAGAGTAAAAAGCTCATTTCCTTACACTCCCATTTGACTTTCTGCATCAAAAAGTTGCTTTCAGTTCTACTTAGTAGGGAGTATAAATTAAAGTAAAATTAAGCAAGTCAGACATTTTCTTCTTGGTCTTTACAGTATACTGTTGAACCTGTATCAATTGGTCACCCACGGGGAATGGTGGGGTAACTGCTAATACAGGTTCCACAGATTAGGGGCATTATAAAACAGTAAACAACCCCATTTTATGCTATAATTGACCACTTTATGTACAGAATCTCACTCCAAAATACTACTTACTTTTATTTTGGGACAGGAACATGGATTAAAAACTACTTGAAAGATAGATTCTTAGTTTTAATTGAGTGGTCCCACTTTCCATGACCATTTTATACAGGTGGAGGACAATAAAAGAGGCCATTGGGACCTAGTAAAGTGTGATCATGATTGCTTAAAAGAGGTGCAAATCATAGTGATTAAATGGCAACAAATTTTGGGACTTTGACAACTGACTGCTTGATATAGGTTAAACTAGCCTGTGAGCTACCGGTAGTACCTGAGTGTTAAATGTACTTCACCTGCAAATGACTTTCAGGCATTGAGCAACCCTCGCTTTTGAGAGGTATGCAAGTATTCAGGCACTGATAATGAGTGCCAGATGACGATCTCTAGCAGATGTCTCGCCAGCCAAGCTTGCTTGGCTCAACATCTCAAGACCTTAAACTCAGTGACAGGTGATAAAAAAGGTTTTGTGCTGCTGCACTAATCATGAAGGCCTGTTCCCAGGCTATATATAAACAGAACATGAGGCTACTAATTTAGTTACCAATATTGTTTGATGATAAAGTAAGACTCTTCAAGGAAGTAAAACCACCAAATGCTGCAGGTAGAACCTTTAATTTGTTCTCGGAAAGGTCCAGTGTTCGCAAAGAACTCCCTAACCCCAGCAACTGGGGAGGAACCTGTTTGAAACAAAGTTACAAACTGCATTTACATGTAGTTGTTGTCTATGATGTATAGGCATGCAATATGCAATATGCATAAGTGACTGCAGTAGTAGCAAGATATGAATTTTTTGCGAGCACTGCATGTGGATGACATGAAACAAAGGTTACTGAGGAATGGATTATTATAATATGACAGCTGTTATAAAACTTTCCCACTGGAAACCTCTTAACTCCCAAGATCAGATTTTGAATTCTCCCCTCTTGCTACCACACATTTCCTTGTAAATTAGTTAAAACAAATTGGTGTTAGATGAAGACAAGAACTTCTGCTTGATAAGTTTCCAGATTCTCTTTAACTGTTTCATCATCATCATCATTATCACGACTTTATTATAGCGTCAAAAAAAGCTATAAGCTACTCAGCCAGGGGTAAAAGAAACCCTCTACTAATTGGGGACACTAAAATTAAACTAATTTTAAGTTGAAACAACTAGCCTAGGTGAGTAGTCTTGAAGATAAAAATAGATAACTAATAATAATAATGAATAAACTTGACATTTACACTAAGATAATACACTATTTAGATAATTAACTAAAGTATATACCAAATAATAATTAGGTAAATAGATAAATAAAATATAAAGCAATAGGTCAGTATGTATGTCAGTTGCTACATAATAACTTAAAGCTATCCAGGTGTTCAGTGTCTGTTCCTTGAACCCTTATGCCAAACTCATCGCCTACTTGTTTATTAGTATAATTTCAGAGCTGAACAAAGAGTTTCCAGCAATCTGATTGGTTGAGCGGTTCCTTATATGATGCTATATAAACCGCTCCGCGCGGTTTATATAAAATGTTAAACTAAAATGTTAATAAGTGTTACTAAAATGTTATGAGTTTAGAAATTTCTCTGTTGTTCAGCTCTGAAATTATACTAATTAAAAACAAATATTCACCACAGGTTCAGTGAATATTGTCGAATAATCCCCTTGACTTCGTCTCGGGATTATTCGACAATATTTACCTCGCCTTCGGTGAATAATTGTTAATTAGTGATTAGCATAGTATGATATTTGGAAAGGTTCTCCTTAAGTAGATTAGATTCATATCATACTGAGGCTTTTGTGGCATTCCCATAAAGATTATGATTAACTGTAGACACATTTTCATTAATCTCATAAAGCTGATGGTCATCAGTGTACATGCTGGGGTTCTGATCAGATTAGTTTACCGAGTAATTTACTGGTATTATAAGGAGAAGTGACATGTTAATCACTTCTGGGAGTTACAGAGTTAAAGAAACCGTCAATACTCTTAAAAATCCCCAGGCGGTAGGGAAACTGCACCATCACAAGAACTGTAAAGCGAGTATTGTTTCACCATAGATAAAACGTTGTAAAAAGGGATGACTTAAAAACTGCAAATGACAAGCATCGAACACTTCTAATCATGTTCACCGATCTCAAATGTGAACTCCAACTTTCGTCAGTACTGACACTGATGCAAGCCATTCACCGTGCCGTGACAGGTCAATTTTGAAAAATGGTTCATTTTATCTGATGACAACAATACATGAGCCAAACAAACCGTAAAAAGGCCAAATAAAGCGCAAGGCTTATTAAAAGCCCTTTACATGAACTTTAAATGATCGAGTTTTACCTCTGAAAGTCCTTTGCCACAAAGGGAACAGACACCGGTCTTCTGTGCGCTCTCTAGATGTGGAGACAGCGAATTGCCCATTTTCGATAAATGTATCGATCATCGGGCGCCTCCTTCGCCAAATCCGCTAAATTTCAACGACTATTCACAGTCAAAATATCAAGCAAGTCTTGTTGCAACCCTCCCTTCCGTCTATTTTGATACAAGCTTTGTAGCCTAGCGAATCTTTAGGCGAGGTCACTATTCCAAGATGGCGTACAAAGGGAAAAGCCACGTTCTTCTGACAGGCTCACCAGGTATTGATTGAAATCAGACCACTGATGTACTTTCTGATATATATATATATATATATGCATGTATCCTTAAAATTCGTTGAAAACTACCTTTGAAGAGAAAGTTTTACTCACTTCTGCGGAAAGTTATCCTTGAATTTAACCGTACCTCGCCTTAGTCTCGTAACAACCCTTGAGAAAGTACCTTTTGTTACCCCTTTGACCACTAAAGAAGCTCTTGATTGTTAATCAAATTCTCCTACTCAGTACTTTATGAAATGTATAGAGAACAGTATGGAGAATATGCATACTGACGTTAGGGTGTTAAGGGTCGAGAAACAAAGTGACCACTTGATTGTTATTGATGACGGAAATTTTGAGAAAAACACCTGAAATGACCAGAATATTTTGGTGGTAAATTAAAGGTCTGAACGCGATGTCCTTGAAAATTAAAGCGTGACGCTGGAAAATTACATGTTATGAACCAGCTTGAGGGGGCAATTCACCTAGTGAAACATATGCAACCCATGAATTTTTTCTTTCATCCTGTGAAAACCTCAAGATCTGCCTTAAAACTTGTGCAGAGGAAGAGAGATTCGTAGTTCCCCCTTTTATATGCATGACGCATGACTTTTTTCTAAAATTTGTACATGAAACAGGATCAAGACCCCCTTTGCTACCCTCCTTTATTTGTGGATATGTAGCAGATTGAGGTTTCCATGACCAAGCAATTAATTTTTAACAATTTCAGAGTCATTGAACACCACCTTGGAGAGTTTGTCCAACAATCAAGAGCTTCTTGAGTACATAATAAATTCCTTTACTCTCATGCCCTAAATGATTGATTCTGGGACGATACTGTTGGGTTAAATTAGATATTATCACTCCTGTGCATTAAGGTTAAAAGTAAAATTCACCTTGGCATCTTCCCTTTATCCCTTTTAAGGTCCTGAAGTGACCCTAAACCCATGCCCTTATCAAACGCTTTTCTGTTACACTTAACTATCTTGAATGGCTTTCATTTACTATGTTTTTTGGTAGGGGTTGGCAAGACAACTATGTGTAGAAAAGTGTACGAGGCACTTCGAGGTAAGGGCATCCAAGCCCAAGGGTTTTATACAGAGGAGGTCCGCAACAGCCATACAAGGAGTAGGGTGGGGTTTGATGTTGTCACTCTGAATGGGCAACGTGGACCTTTAGCAAGAACAAAAGGGTATGTCAGGTGCATGTTAAATTTCACCAGAAATGTTGCAGGATTTATATTAGTGGTACTGAAAGTCACCAGACAAGTCTCTTTTTTTGGCGTTTTAAAAATGTCATAGGTAATGTAGCTTTCACAGCTTATAAGAGCATTGTGATTTTGGTCCTAGATATATTGGTCAAAAGTTAAACAAGCAAAGGGGAGGTTGGTTTAGACTCAGTATGTCCAACACCTTAGAAATGATACAATACTTCCTGTAAGATTTTCAAAATGCAACTTGGTCATGTTATGGGAGGCTCAAATGGACATCTACCACAGACACAGGAGGCAATATTTTTTTTTAGGGGGGGGGGGTGCCTGGGTGCTAACAATATATTGTGGTTGATAATTTTCAATAGAATTCAATATTGTGTCTGGACATTGCAAATCTGGCTCCTCAAGAGTTAATATACCACAACTAAAAAAATGTTTTTTGTATTAAGTGGGTTAGAAATGTGGAGGGATTTTATCCTAATTAGAATAAGGGTGGGGGATATATGGTCTCATTGTCTCTCCACTTCAGTACCCAAACTTTCCTCATGATGCCCCATCCCTCCCCCCCCCCTTCAAGGTTGGGGGCCAGCTGATGGATATTGGTAAATTTATGACTGCAAATATTTCCTTTTGATTAAAATTTTGCTGTACCTTTGTAATATCTACATGCATGCAACATAATCTTTTGTTAGTGAGGTTCAATCTGCAAGAGAACGAGCATCACCTTCAGTTGGCAACTACTCAGTGGATGTCAAGTCATTTGAAGAGCTTGCACTTTCGACAATCATGATTAACACTGAAAATTCCACCAAGGTAATTATCACCCGGAAAAGTATCTCCTGTTGAATTTCTAAACTTGCCCTATTTGGTTATCAACAAAAACGGTTCAAGCATTAAAAATACTACCTCACTCTACACCTACAGGTTACCCCAAATAGAAAGATTATGTTTATCGTGGATGAAATAGGAAAAATGGAACTGTTCAGTGACTGCTTTGTAAGAGCAGTTCGTGAACTGTTTTCTTCTCCACAAGCCACAATACTGGCCACTGTACCTGTAACAAAACAGCGACCCATCCCATTTGTGGATGAGTTGAAGAACAGACGAGATGTGACCTTGATTGAGGTGAGGTTCTCCCTAAGATGTTACTTATTTTAAAGTGCCGCTTAATTAATGTTATCTTTTCATCAGATAATGGCGCTTTTTTTTACTTTTAACGCAACTGTTGATTTCTTGAATGACACACGGCAAAAGATGATCTATTGAGGTCGATTGCATTTGCAAGGCCGAGAAAAGTATTTCCTCTGTGAACAGGGTTTTAACGGGCGCTTTCCATTCAACAAAAATCACCCGTTCAAAATGTCGGTATTTTCGGAGGCCGAATGGAACGCGTTCGACCGTATCCAAGAGGGCACACTCAAAACGTATTCCTAAATTTTCGAAAACGTATCCCGGAACTTTTCCGTTCCATTCGATTTCAGACCCGAAATCTCGAAAATTTTGGTCAAATGGAAAGCGCCCAACATTTTCTTACACCAAGAGAGCAATTTTCAAATGAGTGTCAAAAATTATCCGAGATTGCAATGGTTTTCTCTTACTTCGCTTCGTGATTGGTTCAGAAAACTCGCGCCACTTTCTCAACCAATCAGATGCTAAACTAACAAATTCGGTCACACGCGTTTTCCCGCGCGTTAAGCAGTTTGAATTCTTATTGGCTCTTAAAGGTGTTTTCCTTTCTTCTGATTGGTTGTCGTGATTACTTCGGTTTGAAAAGCGCCCTAATACATTACCCAGCAAACAGTAGTACTAGTAAACCTTTATTTAACTAGGGTAATCCCCTCAGAATACTTAAAGGTCTATCTGTTATCAATAGGAGCCCTAAATTAAAAACTAACAAAAATTTTTAATAATAAATAATAAGAAACTAAGTAACTAAGTTGAAATAGTACACTATAAAAATTAAAACTGATTCTTATTTAATAAATGATTATTATACACAACTGAGCCATTATAATAAAAACTTTTCTTGGCGGTCTCAGTTCTTACTGAAGGTGAGAGTCCATTTATTCACTTCATCTAGTTCTGCATTCAAAATTTCCTCCAAGATTTTAATGTCCTTGCGGGCTGCAAAAAACAACAGCATCATCAGCGTATAATAATATATTACATTTGCTGATAGCAGTAGGTAAATCATTGATGTACAGCACAAACAACAATGGTCTGGGAAAGAACAGGTGATGGGAAGAAACAAACAGCTGCTTGGCTTTTAATTTCTTTGTTAACGACTTCACCGGGTGTGACTAGACCCGGAAGGGTTAGTTCGAACGGAACTCAAGGTCCATGCGAGGCACCACCCCTCCCCCCCAATTCACCCCCAGTAAACCCACCCATTCCACCCCAGGGGAGGACATCCATCACACAGTAATCTCGTGCGTGGGAAATTAACGTCTCCTGCCCCTAACCCTGCAGGAGACGGGACCTCCATTTATTCGTCCCTATCCGAGAAGACTAGAATATCTAACCATTTCTCGATGTTATAGAAAGGTAGCAAATTATTCTCAATTATTTTAAGACCCTGAGTGTTGGTCCGGCCGAGGTTCGAACCCTCGACCTCCCGCACAACAGTCCAGCGCTCTATCCATTGAGCTAACCGGGAGGCGGTTAAAATTGATATAACAGCATATCCTCTTTTTTTTTTTTTCATTGACAAGGCTGTGTAATGTATCTAGAAGAGAGATTTGCTAATCAGATCATGGTGACGAACGATTAAAAATATCTCTGTGGTGATTTCTAATTCTTTATACATTTTGTTGTCTTTCAAGGTCACGAAGGGTACACGAGATGAATTGGTCAGTGATGTTGTACGGCTTCTTGAAGATTCTCTTGTCATAACGTAAATCAATGGCTGTTTTTCCTTTAAGTGACCTGTAGAAATCCTGTTTTCTGCAGAATTTCTACACCTGGATTTGGGGTTCAATGTGATATATATGATGCCGCTTTATGGGATAGAGAAGTTTGCAGAGCAGGCGTGCGGCGAGCCATTGCTCAATATTTTCTTGGTGAAAGTTGTAGCTGCCATCTTTTTACAGCAGCGGAAGGTTGGGGAGAGAAAGAAATTTGTGTAAGGAGAGGAGAGGGCTGGGGCCACGCCCCCTCCCCCACCATCCAATGTAACAGTAAATCAAACATGGCCGGCCGGGGAAACGATATTGAAATTGTATCACTACCTCGCTCTAATAAGACGTCGTAGGCTTAATGGGATTGAGCTGTGAAAAAGGAGAGTTTAAGAGGATAAATACAAATGCAGTCTTAATACACTTAAAGTGCTTAAAATTTACTGGCTCGCTCATGTCTGAAATTTAAAATGCTTTCAACCATTTTTAAGAAAACTGGTTACCATGGAGTTAGAGTTTCTTAACGTCGCAAAAGCTACCGAAACTATGTTGACACATTTGCTTAGATGTGAATGTCATTTTAACTTGACGTTAGTAAAATGGTCAGTTTGCTTCGAGCATTATTTGGCTGCATTAGCGACGGTTCTCCGTTATCTTTTGACTCTTTAAATTTGTCTACCGCCATTTATAAGATATATTAACACCGTTTGTTATACTGGCTCTCGTTTCTGTTCATTACTGCACCATCGACAGCCACCTATGGAAAAAGTTATTAAAATCCATAGGCCGGGTAAATTTTTAAAAGTTATCCAAGAATAATTCTAAAATCGGAACAAACGAAAGTTTTAGTCTTACTATGTAATTTCCTATCTATCAAACAGTACACGCAGCGAATTATTTTATTTTAAAATACAATCATATAGATACTTACAAAGGGAGTGGTATTTTCCATGACCTGGCGTTAAAAGTGATTTTTTCTTTCCAGTAACTGTCAAAACAGCGGGAGACAATTCCCAAAACAAGACCATTGAATTTTTTTTTTTAGCCTTTCTTGTGTAATATTTACATTTCAGCTGTTATAAAATTCCTTGTGGATCTATAAATAGGGGAAGTTAACTTCATCCCCAGAAACACCCTCTGGCGGATAAGTTTGTTGAATCTTACCAAGCGGCGGCCGCCGGTTTGTGAACGGCTGAGCCCGGAAAAGGGGCCGCAAGGCAAAACCCCAAATACAAAGGCCTGCTCGTAAACGGCTGTAAAAGGTCTGATAGACGGCGGCAAGTAGCTTTAATTGAAATCCTTGTTGTCTTACCACCTTTTTGTTTGGTTATGTATAGATAACGTAGGGAGGCGTTATATATCGATCAGTCCTTGAAATTGAAAGGCAAACCCTGAATAGTGGAGATGCCAGTCTGGACTGAATATCATCAATGTTAATTGTCTGTATTTTAAATACAAGTATTAAAACGTCCGATTTTAAAACTCTCATAATGTAGCTGTTAAAATAGACCAACCTTTCCGGTTTTCCTTGCCACTTTATGCTACTTTAAATTATCTCGGAAGCCTCGAACAAATATACAACAGTGATATCGTAGTTTACGACCTTCAAGGAACCAATCATTGTGCGTATCGTTTGGTTATTTACCTCTTTGACGCCGAACATCTGACATATTTTCCCTGTCGGTTCTTTATGGAAAGCTCTTGTTTCAGATATCTATCGTTTTAAGCGTCTATTATTCCATATGAAATGCAATTTGTGGCGATGGAAACTCTTGCAAAGCCTATTTCTAAGCGAAAAACACGATAAAAGGCAAATTAATTTTCCCCAATATAATAACTCCGCATGCAGATGTAATTGTGGATCCGTGGCAAGACAGCCATTTAATGAATGAGCTTTGTGTTAATTTCGCCCACCTCTCGCCGAGCCCGGCGGAGTTCAGAGTCGCTAGACATCAATTGAAACAGATTTTCCGAGTGTTTAAAAATTGTCGGAAAACAGCCGATAGCGAACCAGAAGCAGTAACCTTCAAGGCAAAAAATAGACACGATTCGCCCTTTGAGAGGTAAGAATATTATTCTTGGAAAGGTTGAAACAAGGACTTGGGATTACTCTATAAGACATAGCAAAGAAAATTTTGGCAGGGATAGGCCACAAAAGCTCAATTAGCCCGTAATACTTAACTCTTTATCAAACAAAAAAAAAAAATAAATTCAACCTGGTTGATAAAAATACGCACAACTTTTCTCCAAGGAATTTTTTAATCATGATTTTGTCGTGTTTTTTTTTCTATTTTTTCTTCCTTTTCTTTGAGCTCTAAATCTGTGTTTCTTTTTTTTTTTTCTTTCCATTTTGCAGTATCCATCAATTTCTATATTTATTATAAATTAGTTGAAATTTGAATTCAGACGCCTTCGGACTTATACACTTTCACTTTGCAGAAGTGTATGAAAAGGAATGGCAAAATTGTATTTTCGAGGAGGAAATTTCTCTTCTGTTTTAAGTACATGTTTCATAAATGCCGCGGAGAAATATCTAACGGCAGCCCAACATAGAAAGCCTCAGAACATAAAATGGCGTTTTTATTGAAAATTGACTAATCGTCAAAAATATATGCTAAAAGAAAGTTTTATGGAATTTACACAAACTTTTCTACTTTCAAGCTTATCTGCCTATTTAGCGCCTATTAAAGGTATAACATTGCATCAAGTTCAAATTAATGTTCCGCAGATAAAGATTTTTATTTTTATTCCTTCGTTTTCAATGCTGAAAATTCAGTTTTCTAGTCGTTATGACTGAATTCGCTTCTAAATTGAGTGGTAAACAATGGAAAATTGAAACAAGGTGTCTATCTCAGGCCGTTTGTTAACCAAATCAATATGAACTGCAATTTTTAACGAAACAGGTATTCTGTGGTCTATACATTTTCTTCTTTGCACTAATTTCATCTTCATTGAAAACAAAAGTTTTATATTCGTCTTAAAACGAACACAACAAAGGAATTACTCTAGTTTTCAAAACCGCTTGATCACAAATTTCTCTGAAATTTCTGTGCGGCGATAGGTTTTTTTTTTTTTAATATTTATTTTTCGTGGAAAGAATATCGCATATGATGACCTTTATTGAATGTCTAATTTGTTGGCACTTCTAATTTTCCACTTGAAATAAAAGAAGCATCTGTTTTTTGAATAGTGACTGAAAGCTAGATCTCACGTAAATTTACATATCATCCGGTCATCTTGGCCCGCTCCCTCGATGAAAGTGCCGTCTCGATTTAATTACACCAAAGGCGATAACATCCTTGACAGCAATAAACTTGCCATTTAGCAATTAAGCGATAAATAAATAGATAAATGAATAGGAACAATCATTACAACTGAATAATTAAGATTTAAGTCATTTATTCAGTTTATATGGTGAATGAGTAATCTAGGAACTTTCCTTGGAACAGTGTTGAGGGTTTGACTACATTAAAACCTCGGCTAACTCCAACTCAGCCAATAAACCCGAAATTCTCACCAACTCAACCTCTGATGGAGGGCTAACGCTCGAGATGTTAGCTTTAGAAACTCTCAACTCTAAACTCAGTTCATAAAACCAAATAATCTAATTGCAAATCCCTTGAAAAGTTAGTACGAATCCACGATACTTGATACTGTTACCCTGTTTTCCGTAAAAATCTCATCTTTTTGTGTTTGCCACCTCTCCATCTCTTTAAGATAACCACAAAAAGTCTTGTTTTTGTCGCATGATTACAGGTTACTCACCCTCATCAATATTAATCATCTTATCATGAACAGCAAGTAACCATTAGTGAGCAATGCATTTATAGCTAGATAAATAATAGATGTTTTTCTGAGTGCAAAAAAAGAGAGATCCAAAACTACATTAATGTACACTGAAAGTCATGCCAGAAGAAGCACTGATCTTGTAACAGCTACAGGTTACTACATGGCTACCTACGCCTGGGTACAATTTTTTTTTCCTTCAGTAAATTAAAATGTTTTCAAAACGAGATTATAAATCCTTACATCTTTCAATGTTCCGTTAATTTCAGAGATATCAAAGAAGTATTTATATCTGAGATAATCACATTTAAAGAGCACTGAATGTTGTGATCGCTTTGTTTTGCAATTGGGAATATTTCTAAGTTAAAAAGCTTTAAATGAAAATTTTTGTAGACCATCTCTGAACAGTGTAACTCCATTCAGGAGTAATAGTTTGTCTCCTAATCATCATGATTGAAGCTACTTAATTCTATGTTTTTTTCATGCATTATTGATTTGAATTCAGAAGGGATTTTGCAGACAGCGAAAATTTAATTCAATTTAAAAAAAAAAAAAGGCAATTCCCCCCTAAAATATTTTTGGATTTGCGGGCCCGATTTTCTCTACCGCGACACCCTTCAATTAACGGCCGTCAATATTAAAATTTAGTAACCGAAAATCAACAAAAAAAAATGATTATCGAGTCTGGCAGGGAAGCAAACCCACAGAAAAGGTACATATTACTCATCCCCGCTGCATTAGGCTACTGGGGATCTTAGATATTTTCAAATTTTCATGATATATACCCACGCATAGAATACCATATCATTCCATGATAAATAACCCGCTTTAATAGTTTATGGCAAGTTACCCACGCAAATCTCTATCACCAAATTTCTTCCCTATGGAGGAAAACAAGACAATTTACATATTTTACATCATTTAAAACTCTCGCCGTGGTAACACATTTATAAATTTCAGCCCCCTATGAATAATAATCCTTCACTGAAAGATTTTCTAAGTAATTCAATACTCTCGTCTCTGGAAAAACAATAGCTGATCTTAATCTGTTGCCTTTTGCCCGCACGAAATTTAATTTGCGATCTCAAAGTTTTCAAGGTCAGCCTTGAAAGGTCCAAATAGCATTTACTATAGCGAGTCCAAATGGTGCTTTTTGGCATACTAAATGTTTTTAATTTTTCATGATATGAAACCCACAGAAAAGTACATCTTTACCAAATTTACTGCTCCTTTATCACGGTAAGCATACATCTTAAGCAGTTTATAAAACTCAGGCAGTCAGCACATTTTCATGATTTTCACCTACTTGAGATTTAACGTTCTGGGTGAAATAGAAAATCAGCTCATTTGGGTAAACACTACTGACCACTAAACTGATCCTCAGAATGCCCGAGAAAATAATTGTAAGATTTTATAGCAAAATTGAAACAGGTACGATACGGAGAATGAAGAAAACGGTCCACTAGGTGTGTTCAAAACTCTCATGTCGCCTTTTTGCTGCCATTAATCTGTGAAAATCAACGTTGTAATATTTACATGATTAATAGAGAATTGTAAGTTCCCTGGAAGTGTTCAAGTGAAATCTAAGAGAGCCTTTTACTTATCTCTGTTCTCGACAAAAAAAAAGGCAAAATGTAATGAAGAGTTTCAGTATAATAAGTCTCACATGACGGAAATTAATAAAAAAATGCGAAAAGTGAACCTAAAATAATTTTCCTCAGTTCTTCTTGCTTCCATGTGGTGTTTTGGAGGCAGAGAAAAAAACAGAATCATGGACACCTTTTTTCTCCACCAATAGAAGCCCTTTAAAAACATTTTCCCTCGATTGTTACCCACTCAATGTTGATATTATTGCAGTGTGCTTTCTGACACCACCAACAAACTTCGTTTCCTCATCAAACGAGCTAGGTCCGCCCCAAATAGATAGTAATTGACGCTTCGTTTGTCACCACCAGCCTTTACTGGCACGCAAAACACATCTCTGCTACATGAACAACGAGAAAAAATTGCATTGATACACGAAAACGCCTATCACCGACTTCCAAGTATCATAACAAGTACCTTAGCGCACATCTAGTTCCGCTACCATATCTCTTCTGATATGTCAATAAACCCTCGTTTCGCCCACAAAGTAGCTAATTGACCACTATTCATCTCTACTGACCTTCATCAGCACGCAAAACATTTGCCGTTGGCGATTATTAACGACTTTGCCCGTACAAATCAACTGGGCTCTCTTAACTTCCTATTACCTTTAAAACGAGAGATATTGATATTAATAACTTGAAGATCGAAGGCTTTTTAGCTTTTTTCCCCAGACAACAACTCTTGTGGAGTGTCACGAAATTATTCAAAATGCAAATCATTTCCTTTTATTTTTCTATTACTTTATATTCATATATTTTTTTCGTGAGAGAATGGTTTTATCATCTTGCAGTGACAAGCGGTCTGGCGTTTCGTTTGCGGTATGTATGCATTCAGAAAAATTAATACATGTAGTTCTCATTTCATTATCTTTGGCCCAAGTTTAGATATCCTAGGCTGACCAAGAGAGAATTAATGCAGTTTTAAACCGAGAATCAGCGTAAAAGGCTTTTAATCAGTAAAATAGACTAGTAAATTGTAAACGGCAATCATCTATTAGAATAGTCTTTCCATCTTTACAAATTCAGTTCCTCAGAATATCAAGGTCGACGACAGACTGACATAGCTTCGAAAGCCGAGGATCACGCCATCGAGTCCCTGTCGGTTGAAAATTCTCCTAGTAAAATCGGCTTAAAGGTATTCTTTCTTGTTCCTCGCTTGTGACTTTTTTAAAATTTTATTGAACTTATTCAAAGCCGGTCGAAGAGTAAATATGTCGCTACGAGTAACAATATACTTTGGGCCCGTCCAGCTGGGTGAGTCACTGAAATCAATCTGGAAGAATATTTGGACTTGAATGAGAATCGAAAGGCTAGCGCCGAAACAGGGACTTCCTATCTGCGAAAGCAAACAGGAATGAAGAAAAACACTTTTTCAACGAAGACTAGTAGCCGCGCTTGTTATAAGATGCCAGAAATGGATGAATCAATTGCTAAGGAACCAATCTGGTCTCTGCATTTAACATGAACAGATGAAAAATCTGATTTTTGCGAAAGTTATTTTTGTTTAACCGTTTTTAAAGTTTCCATAAGATTACCCAAGACATGTACTGCCCAAGACATGTATTGCCCATTTAATTCGAACTGAAAGGCCTCAGCTTAGCTTTCAAGTCAGAACGGGCTGAATAATGGTTGGGTTAATTACCAGGAAGCTTATTTGCACATGAAAGGCTGTCAGAATAGGTTTTGTTTCCCCTCTAAATTCAGTTTTTCAAAAGAAATTCATCATATCGTTCACACGCTTTTGGAGTGCGTAGAGGGTTTCGATAACTTTTTCCAAGAGCGCCAGCCGAGGGCGATAAGCTGTACCCCGGGCCGTAAGGCGAAACCCAGACGCAAAAGCTTGCGTTAGAAAAACAATGAATAGGGATTTAGCTTTGGATATTCCACGAGGTGTCTCTTATTGACCACTGTTTCCAGGTCGAATTGGAATTAGAATGTTGGTTTTTGTGAAGGGAGGAAAACCGGAGGGGCTCGGCGGAGAAAAACCCTCGGAGCAAGGACGAGAACCAACAACAAACTCAACCCACATGTGATACCAGGTCCGGGAATAGAACCCATAGGCTTGTTACTATTGGAAAATCATCTTTTTTTACATGTGCGGACATTGCCAATATGTTGATTAGAGAATATTCCTTTTGCTTGGGTTGTACTCACTAAAATAATCAAAGACCTCTCAATCAATTTCTACAAAAATGAACTTAAATGATGGTTTAAACGTCAGCCTTTCTACTGCAGTACTAACCACTTGCTTCTTTCAAGAGAGTCAATTGCTCTCAGCAAGCAAAGAAAAAATAACCTCCCTTGATTCATCACACAAAAAAGCAGTTTCAAAATCTATACTCTAGGTGAAGCACCACGCATTTCGAATTCTTGAGATTGATTTTTGCCTCAGGGATCTTTATTTGACGGTCTGAGAGTATCTTTACGCCCACAACAATTTCCTTCGTTTCCTGCAGTCGCGAGAGTCTTTGTTTGGAAAGTCAGAACAGTAATTAACCAAAATCAAATATGAAAACATCGTTGTGTTTTTCTTTTTTTTTTTTTTTTTTTAGTGCAGAAAAGTTACACCGGATTGTTTACTCAAACGATAAGCAGCCATGCAAATATTCATTGCATTTTGGGGCCGGTCATTGTTTATCACGTAGGAGGGGTTGGAAGATTTTTGTTTTGTCATGATAACCTTAACCTTATCCCTCATAATGATCTGTAATAAAGTATCCTCTACCCCCTACTCCCCCACCCCTCCCTCCCTGATGATAAATACCGATTGGTCTCTACTACGAGCAGATATATAATTTTAAAACGGGTATTAGAACTTGAATAGCTGTTTTTTTTTTTATAAACTTTTCTCTGATTTCAGTTTAGTAAATCTAATGTGAGTGCCTTCGATATCTAGTGAATATGAGTTCAGTCAATTTTGATGTTTTGTTTTACAGATGGGCCGAGCAATGGACAGTAGCAATATTACCCTTCCCCAAGCAGAAGACCTTGTATCTTTATCAACAACAGACACAGCTACCAAAGCGACCATGACTGTCGCCTACAGTATAATATTTCCAGCGGCGTTGCTAGGCAACATCATCGTCATCTATCTCGTGTATAAGTTACCCTCCATGCGACATCTCACAAACATGCTCCTCGTGAACATGTGTGTAGCAAACTTATTGGTCACATTGTTCGCCATGCCTTATTCTGTTCTGTACGTTTTCCTTCAATATCATTGGCTGTCTGGTAGCCTTGGTAACGTAACATGCAAGCTGACGCACTTTTCGTATGCACTGTCGATAGCCGCTTCCATCTTTGCTTTACTGTTGATTTCATTGGATCGTTTTTACGCCGTTCTGTACGCGCTCAGACGCCGTCCGCTTTTATTGCGAAGTACCAAATGGGCGTCTCTTGGAATTTGGATTTCCTCCTGTGTCTTTATGTCACCGTACTTGTTTCAATTCAGGGTTGTTTCGCTAAAAACTGTGTCTTTGTGCATTATCAGTTGGGAACCATTGGACAACGAGATCGCCTCTCAAGCCTACTTCTTCATAGTTTTCATTTTACTCTATTCTCTACCTCTCTTTGGAATTGGTTTGGCTTACAGTTTGATCGGAAAGAAGCTCTGGCACAGGAAAATCCCGGGACAGCATACTCTGTCAAACGCGCGCGTTTTGGAGCGATCGAAGAGAAAAGTGGTCCGAATGTTGATTATTGTCGTTGTTGTATTTGCCATCTGCTGGATTCCTGCGCATCTAATGCACTTCTTGTCGTATTTTCAAAGAGAAATATATTTCTCCCTCCATCCCCTGGTGCTGTTAATGTCCTTTTGGTCTTGCCATGCGAACAGCGCCATCTCGCCTTGGCTATTCTTGATAATGCACCATAACTTTAGACAAGGCGCTCGCCGGCTTTTCAAGGCCTCTTCTCTGCGCTCCAATCCCCAACAGTCATTTACAACCCACTGTTCAATTGGGAATCGGAACTTTCCTGATAACGCCACTGGAATTCGGCTTAATTCTCTGTGATAAAGAAGCAGCGATTTCTTGACCAGGCTATGTAAGGCGCTATAAAATACTGTGATTAACTGTTACTTAAAAAAAAGGCACCAAGTAAGTTTGAGCGATAAAAAAAAAGTTGACTAAGTTAACCTTAATTTTTACTCCGAAGATCTCATTAGAAATTCTCCTCTCTGTCTGCTATACAATTCTCGTGAAGTGAGTTTGGAGAATTTGGTATTGGATAGACAACTCATCAATATTTTTCTTTATCCTCGTCACTTATCTGCTAGTTATTATCCAACTACACTCCGTATAGTACAAGTAAGGCCTAAGACGTGTACAAATATCACGCGGTATTTGTACTCCAGTAAACCGGTTAGACAGGTTTTCTCGCGTCGCGCAAGCGACAAATCAAGAACGAAGTTACAAAAAAGAAATGGCGGACAATTTAAATCATTTTTCTGACGACGAAGAGTCGGAATGACTGGCGAATATTGATCCAAGTTTATTAGATAAATCCAACAAAGAAAAGCAGTGAAACGACAGTGAAATTTTACCACTTACTGGAGAAAATTGAAACAGCAACACGACAACGCGCCAATTCCGTTCCGCTTCGCCTCAGCGTTACTACACAACAAAACCTTTAATGAGATACACACATATATATATTGTATTGATATCGTAAACAGAATTTCTCTCTTGGTCACTCAAGGTAAAGGGTGAAACCAACTGACTTAAAAGTGAAAAACTCGGAGGTGAGAAGAATGTGTAAATACCCGATAAAAACAATAATCCTTTGAAAAGAAAAAATAATAAAGTCATCCAGAAAGTTTCTTTCCTTTATTTTTCAATTGCAACAAAGAGCTTTGCGCGGATTAAATCTACCCGGGTGTTTAGATGTTGGTAAGGTTGGTATTTGGTCTATGCAGCCAGAGCCTATCCCGCTTTCTCTTGCATAAAGCAATAAAGAATATCACTATTTCCCTTACCCCCACCCCTGGATGGGATGTTAGTCTATCATAAGGTTACCCCTGTGATGGATTCCCGGCTTTCCTGACAAATCGTCGGTATTCTGGGGGGGAAAGAGGCACTGTGAGACTAAAGAGTCATTCCTATGAACACACTGAACAGTTTGTGGATTACGTTCTCTAATAGGGAGCATCCCTCAGAGGAGGGAAGCCTTTGAGTTGGGTTCAAGATCATGCGAACTAGTAATAAGACATTGTATACCGTGTCCCTCACGGACAGCTCTGCATAGACCGCTGCCCAAAGGATCACAGTGAATTGCTGGCTGTTAGCGCAGCGGGGTCTGTTGACGAGCCTGTCAGTTTTTCCGTACTGTAAATTAAAGCACTATGATTTCAAAAGTAAGAAGCATTGGTATGTATTCTTGGAAGGACAGTAACTTTCACGCATATGTGCAGTACATCTGTGGAATTTTGGAATCCAGTCGAGGTTAACGGAAAGTAAGAAACAATCAGAGGATGCGACGTTTGGTACGTATACTTTAGGCCCTTTTTTCCCTCCTAAGTCTCTGCAAAAGAACGTTAATTTCTAAATTATCCCTGTTAAATTTAATGAAGTCGTGCTGGGATTATGAACACCGTGTCACGGAAAAGTCAAGCATCCTCAGTGACTTTCTAGTACTCAAGCAATTGACGGCAAATATTTCTGGGCATGGGAAAGGAATGTAAAGAAATTGACCTCTGATATAAGAAAATTTCCTGTTCCACCAGGGAAAAATGTTTATTTTTATGGTGTGACTAACTAAGGACATTTTTTGGCAGGATCTCGGTCGATTGTGCCAAAAATGCAAAGAATTGATTATAAACAAGGATGAAAAAAAAATCAGAATTACTTTTCTGATAAGTGACAACAGTAAAGCTAAGATAGTACATAGCTGCAGAGAGAAAACTTTCGTATATGTAATTCGCACTCATTCATTAGAATTATGCAGGAATCTTGCTACTTCTTCTCAATCGTTTCTAAGAAATATTCCATGAATTATTTTTTGTTTACAACAACTGTTGATCTTCCATGTGTAAAAGGGTTGTCAAAACTATTGACAAAGACTTGTAAAGCTCAGTTTAAATAAACTCGGTTTGGGTGCAATATGTACACAGTTCGTTTTTATAACTTTCAAATCTTGTTCAAATGAAAGGCTATATAAAGCTAAAAGGAACGAACAATTGAACGGATTGAATATTTAGTATGTTTGCACATTACTAAATCCTCGTGTTTTTAGTCTTTGACTTGTTTTAGTCAATAAACGGGTGCTGTCACCTAAAATATTGAGAAATACCTGTCATAAATAAACTCATGTGTAAGTATTTGCACCTTACCTTATTCCAAGCTAGAACATATCCAATTCATGACCTTTTGTTTCAAGTTAACTTCAGAAATAGCTGATAACTTTCTACAAATATTTCTCCCAACAACGCTTTCAGAAACTAAGGTGAAATCTTTAAACTGCTTAGTTCTGTTTTCCACTTGTTGACTGGAGAAATCTAAATAAACTGGTTAACTTAAGATCCGAAAATGTAAACTTGCCATTACAAGGCAGCTTGGTGCGATTCTCTATTCTTCTCTTTTTTATTTCTTTTGTTATATATATATATATTTATTTCGCTTTCAATTTGGTAAAAAACATGAAACACAATAACGAAAGCAAATTTTTTTACTACTTTTGTTCTTCCACGCGGCCAAATCATTTTGGAAACAGTTTGTTCTTATGCGTTTAGTGACCAGTGTACTTTGATAGTTGTAAGCTAATTGTCTCACAAATTACGAATTTTCCAAACTATTATTTACGAACACCTGCGTTGTGTCACAGAGAGGCGAGAATCTACCACCTTAGCCTGGCGTTGGTCTATTCAACATTTGAATAGTCGTGAAAAGTAAAATATGTCAGACTAAACATCGCGTTTATACCTCAACTGGAACTCAAGACAGCCTTTTCCTCTAGAAAGCACAGTTTTGGACCAATTCATTTAGACATCTATATTTATACAGGATAGCCCCTTCAGTGTAGTAAACACTAGTATCAACGGGGGTCCTGTTAACCACCCATCCCACCCCAAGGGAGGACATCCATCACAAAGTGATCTCGTGCGTGGGAAATCAACGTCTCCTACCCCTAACCCTGCAGGAGACGGGACCTCCATTTATTCATCCCAATCCGAGAAGACTAGCATATTCTTCTCAATTATTTTAAGACCATGAGTGTTAGACGGCCGGGGCTCGAACCCTCGACCTCCCCGGCACAACAGTCCAGCGCTCTATCCATTGAACTAACCGAACGCAGTGAGGTCTGTACCAGCGACCGAGGTCAAGATTCTCCCATACAGACCGACCTAGCTCAGTTAATAAGATGTTTATTATATGGCTGTGTCTTACATGCCAATTTTTTATATTCTTTGTACCTTTTCTTTCCTGACCGATCTAGATGCCGGTCTAGATGGGAAAATCTAGACCGCTTTGAATCTTGATTTCAGCCAATCAAATCCGTGAATTCGGTTGTTCCCAATCTTTGTGAGACACAGCCATATAATAAAAGAGAATATACATTACAAACAAATCTATGCATTTCATCAAAATGTTTCTTATCGCTTCCCTATCCACAGATTTTAAAGTGGATTTGAAAAGATATTTCTAGGAGCTCACTGGTTATTTCCGATCCCTGTCCCCCTCCCTCATCTACCCAATAACATCCCCCTCTTTTAACACTCTCCTCTTTAAAAATTCCCGGAATAAACCTTTCCCATCCCTCCCTCCCCGAGGAAAAACTCATGTTGCCAATAGAAACGAAAGACTTATCGACGAAACTAAAGATTTAAATAAGTTAGCTGATGACAATGAATAAAAAAAATTTCGAGTTAGGATAACTTCGCGTTTAAAGAGTGCTTATAACTTTAAGCAAAGTTCCGCTACATTCCTTTCGTCTAAAATACAAGTCAAGTTCCGAGACTCGATTCCAAGCATCTGTTTGTTTTGAGTGAGATTGCTAACAAACCTTGCTGTGTACATAAAAAGTGACAGCTCTTCGTCGATACAACAATTAATTAACTGCAGTGTCGTGACTTAAACCGAGGGACCCTGTTTCGAAATTTCAGGGCCACTCTTAAAAATTAAATGTTTCCCATATTTAACTTCACCCAACCTTTTAGAAATAAATCACTTGCAGACAAGTCCACTGCTGTGGTCGTAACTAAGAGGTCGCTGAACCAGCAAATTCAAGCGTTCAAGGTTAGTACGCTACGGTAGCTTGAATCTAAATAACTACAGTGAATCATATGTGTTCAAACCAAAAACAGCTAAGAAGCATCGCGTTTTTTATGAGTTAGGCTAATTTCGTCTGGCTTCAAATTTCTTCGTTTAAAAGTCATAGCCACTAGGGAGGGAGCAAAGTGAGACAGAATTTTATAATTCTGCATGGCAACATTTTAAAATATCTACGTTTATTAACTTATATATTTCCAATTTCAGCCAATTAGAGTCCAAAGCGCTTAAAAGTTTTGGGTCATTTTTCTCCAGAACCCGAAACCCTTAAATAAATGAAAATTCTAATAAACGAGACGAAAAGAATTGTAGAAATAGTAGAATGGAGGTGCTCAAAAGCAAGAGTTAGATTTAAAGGAATGTTTTATGTACACAAACTCGATCAAGAATGTAAATGTAGAGTATTAACAATTTATGGTAAATTATAGCTCTTGTGAAACATATGTATGAACTGCGGTTATGAAACGTATATGTGCACGATCCTTCGCAGTAAAGCACTATTTGAGCAATAGTGAAAATCAGACCTGAAAAAAAATTTTTTTTTTTCCACACTTTCCTGAAAGGAACATATTGTGGTCATCAAAGATTTCCNATTTGAATTTTTCACGGTTGGTTTGTTCAAATTCCTGTTCCCCGGGAAAAAATTTGTGTTCAGATGCCCCATCCTATTGTTTTCAAGTTAAAAGGCATAAATAGTAAACGTGACTTGGACTCAGCTTGGAAACCTTGACCTTTTAGACCTTTTCTTCTGAGCCGTTCGCTCGCGAGAGTGAACCTTTTAGCTCAAACACTTCCGGTTCAATTCCCCACCCCAGCCGAGTAACGGTCAAAATCTCCCAACTCCAGGGGAACGTACGACAATGGGATGCCCGTAAGTTTCCCTGAGGGGGGATGTTGAAGCTTTGAATTGATCGGCGCATAAAATCTTCATTTGTAACGTGCAAAACGCAACGATCAATGACTTTCTTCTGGTGTTTTTTTTCTGTTTTCCCAATTTTTTTTTCGATTCACTTCTAATTGTAGGCTCTCATTTACCTCCTCGAATACACTTAACAGTGGTTGTACCAAGCAACTCATTCGTAGGAGCTAAAAACTTCAACCTAGTCAAGGCGTTCGTGGGGGACCTGGTGCAAGAGTTTAGTATATCCCCTTCAGGAACTAGAGTCGCAATGGTAACCCAGTCCTTCACTCCTCGCCTATAGTTCAGCTGGTACAAATTCATGAACACTGATTGTACCCTTAAGGGAATATCATCGGTTCGGTAAGACTGTACTCTTAGAACAAGATCAGGAATTGTCGTTTTCTTGCCTCTTTTACTTGTTATTTCAGTGTGACAATGTAAGGCGCAGTTGAATATGTATATGGAACCTAAACGGTATAAATATCTATTATCAATAACAATAAAGTATTATCGTTTGTCTCACAATGTAGTCACTTGTGATGTGAATCGCGACGACTCGACTCCATACTGCTCTGCTAGTCTTCATCCAGCGATAAGGTCAACTGATTTCGGGTCTTCTTATTAAGCAGGATGCTCCGCTTTGATTGGTTGGTATTCCACAGCTATGATTGACGCCTTCTGATCCTCGATGTTAGTGACTTGTTCCCTCGGAAGTCCGCTATTTCTATTATCAATATTATTATTATTATTATTATTAATATTATTATTATTTAACTCATTGATTTCATTAAGAACCTCTTTCATTTTAGAATCCTCGACTACACTTAATCTCCTCTGTTTTCTTAATCATTATCTCATTTTTTCATTCATCTATTTATTTCTTTTTTTTTTCCAACAGGTTTCAGGCGGGGAGCAGATCCTCCTTGAACACTCTTCCCACCTTTACCAAATCGAAAATATATTCGCCCGCTAAAAATACAACGGACTCAGTTCATCGAGTATTATTTATTATTACAGAAATCATTGCCTTAAACGCATCAAAGATTACCACTTCTCTAGCCAAGGAGCTTCAAAACGACGGCGTCAATGTCTTTCTATTGACAGTTGGCAAGAACGCTATTATCAAGGAGCATAACATGGTGATTAGTAAGCCCTTTAAAGGGCGTATTTTTCGGGTCAAATCGTTCTGAGATCTCCCCAGACTAGCAAGGTCTTTCAAAGGCAAAGGTACGTCATGTGATTAAACGCTCGCTAAGTGAGAAGTTGGCCATATCAGGAAAGCGACGAAAAAATTAGCTAAATCGGAATTCTAAACACAAGTGCGCGTCGAATATATGGAAGTGCGCGTATCAGAATCAATTACGCAAACAGTAAGGAGCTGGGCTTCGGGGACTGTTTTGTAAAACTTCAGAACAGAATTCAGAAAACCAACACGATCAAGAAAACTCTTGACTCGATTTTGCTCGCTTGTCTTCTTTCCAAACCGCGCAAGATCGAGAACTCGATTTAACTTTAGCTCAGTCATGCCGACGTGCAAAGCCACTCTTACAAACAACATGGGAATTTTATTTCTTCAACGCAAAATGCTCAGAGGCAGTTGGCTTGTTATCATGCTTATAAACTCTCGTTGGCTTTTGGCAAAAATTTTCATATCTCTTATTAGTATAACTTCTGAGCTGAGCAAAGAGTTTACAGCAATCTGATTGGTCGAGCGGTTTCTTATAGACCACTTTCATAAATGGCTGCCGGAATAAAATTCTTTTGTTTACATATAA